CCAGCTCTTAAAATCGTTGCACGTACTGTACATTAATTTGGCATTCTAACGTTCAGTTAGAATATCTTAAGTAGTATCAGAGAAAGAAGTTTGGGGCAATGGGTTTATGAGTTAGTAACGGAAGATGAAATCAGGGGAGGGGCCGGATGTCCGGATTTTGCTGGTAGTTAAGCATGTCTTTCTAAACGTCGCATTTGTAGAAAAATGATTAGAATTGATTTAGTTTATTTAGTTACGGCACACGACACGTGAGCGATCAATTCAGAAAGACGTTTATGTAAAGCTGGCTCCAATTTAAGTGTTACTAACGACAGCCCAAAAAATTCCACGTGGCCAGTCCGCTAAGTCACGATCTACTAACGGTGTTCGGTGGTTTTATCCACTCGGTTACTGGAGTATACTTATTGGGCTGCAATTTCAAAAACCTGTAGAGCTATAAATTTCCAGTCTTCTGTCCGTCTCTGACCTTCCTTAATCTCGAGAACGGAGTTAGATAGATGAAAATCGAAACCAGACATAGAAATCGTAAGAGAAAAGGAACAGATTACCTATATATGAACTTTCGATTTGTACCGCAAGACACGTTATTTCAATACAAAAATTTTCCTCCGAACGCAGTTAGATACATAACCAGCATGATTGTACTGCTAACAGGAAAAGTATAATGTAAGGGGGCTAAACACTACTACACTCCACGCAGGGAAGTGCTATGTGCTACCTGTCGCAGTAATGGCGTAATGGCACATTTATTTCGCGCTATATCATTGTCGCAATAATTCTGTGAATACAATATATATTTTTAAAAATTATATCCTTTTTCGTAAGAATTATATTTAATTAATTATTTTGTTAACTTTTTTGCCAATAGATGACGCTACATCTAAATCAATAAACCTAATGTAAATAGAAATTAATTAACAGCCATAGGGACCTTTACTATTCGTGTCTTAATGTCTTCTCCGAACGCTGAACTCAAAACTATCGTTCCCCAGTCCCTGTCATTCGAATCGGCAATGTCCTCGAGACGCAAGACCGGAATTTGAGTGCCTGAATCTATAATAGCTTCGGTATCTCGCCCATTTATGCTTACTGTAACGTATTGTAAGGGTTGAATGCTAGGAGCTGACTTCGAATGTCTACTTGTTTTTCCTCCAGAGCGTTCTAATCTTATGCTCGCCACTATTGAGCCTTCGTTTCGTTTTCAATCTGTCGAGGGTCATTTGAGTGTGGCTATTGTTTATGGACTGGACAAATCCCTTATCCTCTGCGGGCAGAATTTAGCAATATGTTGGGGTGATCTACAAACGAAGCACTTCCTCCGTTTCATTTCCTGACGAGAGTTAGATCCGTTTCTCTTAGTATCTTGAAAATCTGAAAGGCGCTGACGCGCTGCACTCCTTACTGATCATTACACGTTTCGATTAGGGATTTTCCTTTGCTCTCGAAATATAGATCACACTCTCTCGCCATGTCGATACGGTTAAACCAGCTCTTGCCCTGGCGAACGCTTATATGAGCCGCCGTGTCCGCATCCAACGTCTGGAATAATCTATTCGACACGATTAGTTGTTTCAGAGTTTCGGGATCCTTAACATTCCTCAACTCACAATAATATTCCTAAGCTGACGCTATTCTCGACACAAATTGCGTGTGAGTCTCGTTGGGCCTAAGGATAGCTCGTCGAAAATTTTCCACGCAGTATTGAGCTGACGGTTCGTATTCGCGTAGTACTAATTTCTTAACGCTTATGTAATCCCTCAACTCATCTCCGATTATATAAATTAGAATGTTTATGGTCTTTTCCCCCAAAACATTAATCAGCATCTCCACTTTCATTTCCTCTGGAACATTTTTTAATTGGAATGCTAGCTCTAAAGATAAGAAAATTAGGTTCCAATTTTCGGACCTTGTTGAGACTGGCAGCATTAACGTTTTTACACTTTTGATTAATTTTTCAATACTCATATCCGGCCCATCACTAGAGTGGCTGTCCAAAGGGTTAAGATTACCATTACTCGTCCTGCTTTGATTATCAGCGTTAATCCATGCTAGCTCTAACTCATGCTGGCGTTCTCTTTCTCTCTCGGATTGTAGCCTTTCCTGTGCTTCCTTCTGTTTCCTTTCTAGCCTTTCAGCAACAGTTGAGAACAGAATTTTCAATACGAAATTCGGGTCATTAGTAAAATCGTTACTTTTTATAATAAGTTCTCTTAACTCCGATACTTTCAGACCATCGTCTACTGTGCCGCAAAGCTCTTCCGCCACAATCCGTAGATCTTTCTTTTTAACTCCCTTTACGCTTAGCATCCCGCCGTAAAATTTGTTTTCGACAAAGTAGAAAATTTTCCTACCTCTTCTCTAACGAATAATTAGAAACGTGCCTCAACTATCCACTCAGCCCAGTTATCGATCGATTCTTCTTGTCTTAGAACGTAATCACTTTTTTAAAATTCTATCCTGTTGGCTGCGCCAATGTAAGTGATCCTTTATCACCACAGGTTTTTTCTACACGAAAAACTTTCAAACCAGGAGGATTTGAAACATTCCTTTTATTCTCCAAGCCAATAACGAATCTTCCCTTAACTTTTCAACTATCCAAAATCGCCGTTCCATCCTCTGTGTTCCAAATCTTTTTAATAACATTTTTTTTTTAAATTTTAAACGCCGCAAGATAAGTGTTAGGGTGTTAACCCGAACACGGATCTGAAACAACCCAAAGAATAAGGATATAAGAGAACAGAGCTTCTACGAAATTACACAAAGTATACACAGACAATGCGCAACTCACAATTTTCATTTACACGGATTACGCCTGTAGTCCTTATCACTACGTGTCGAAGTAAAAGTCACTATTAATGTCACAAACATATAATTCATCTTCCCTCTTTCAAATAAGTCTCAAAAGAGCATTTGCGTCCGGGTCTCATTCCTAGTCCGGCACCACATTCTCTTCCTCATGATGATCCACATCTTCTCTTTCGATTAGAACCCGCATCAGAATTATAATTATGTTCTGAACCGCTTCGACGAGGGACAGAAAAGTTCTGAATAGATCCCATCTGGTTTCTTAATTTCTGATCAATTTCTAATTTCTCATGTCGTAACTTTTCTACTTCTTTTAAATGGACAAGATGATATTTCAGCAAAACTTTGCATTGATAATACTTTTCATAGTTCCCACAAAAACAAATGGCACCTGCCTCCCTTGAATATGAAATGGTGTTACTATTTCATCATATTGTTCTTCCTTTAATGTCTGATTCTCGTTCTCACCTAATTTTGACACGAACTACGCCAGGTTTATCTATTTCTGGGATTATGCGGCCATTTTTCCCACTCACTTTGCCTTCTAGGGCTCAAGGCACTTGAATTGATTCTTCCGCATATTCCAACATGCACCTGGCTTCCTTTACAATTTTTTCGGTCTCTCCATAAATTTTGAACGTACTGTACAAGTTGTTTCTTCTAAATCAATTCCAATAACACCTTCTAACTTCTGAGCATTTTGTATATTTGCTCCATGGGCACCTAAGGCTAATCCCATTAAATCTTCTCTAACACTGAACTCTTCCATAAATCCAGAATTAGAATGAAGCCTTGTACTCTCTAATTGGCGTGCTGCTTCTTCTGTTCTATTCATTAATAAAACCTTCTGTCTTAAGTTACGGAAATGCATTTCACTAAGCATTATAGCTCGTTTCTTTGAAGTTTCTGCCTTTGGAAGAATAGTTAAACAATTTTTCCCAGGGTTAAACGGGTATAACGCAGCATCAACAGCTTTCTTAAAATCTTCGTAGTCACTGTAATTTCGACTACTAGAATCATTTCGGCTTGGATAGTTTCTATTATAACTATCTTTTTCATTTTCACTATTCCTTTGTGAACTCCGAGCATTAGTGATTTGATCCTGCCAATTACGTGTGTACCCGGTAAGACCCCGTCCATATCTCCTATTCCTCCGGGCGCGCGGAGGATCATCTTCGTGATGCGTATCATGACCCCATCTACCTTCATCTAACCATAATTTTTTCTTCCTTTTATCTTTAGTATCTCTTTCTTCAGTATCAATTTCTGTATCTGACTTAATACGATCACCACGTTCATAAAATTTTCCTTCTATTTTGCGATTCTCTCCTCCTGATGCCTCTATCTCTTTCGAAGTCCGGGTTTTGTCTACATTTGCGTCTCCATGGCTGTAATTTCCGCTCCCGCGCGAACCAAGCTTTTATTTTCTTCTTCCAAGATTTTGTAAATACCCAGCGGTATGAGACGAGGACCCTTGAGTTTCTCAGTCAGTGCCACCATAACTTCTACGGGGGATAATAAATTTTGGTTGCAGTGGTCTTTAATTTATAGAAATTTATTAGATACTTTGGGATGGGATGTATGACATGATATAAGTTAGAAGTATTTGAACGTAACTGCCGAGTTTCGTAGCAATTGGTTGAAATGCCTAGGAGTGTATAGCGAACAAACAAGCATCCTCATCCTAACAAACAAACAAATAAACATCCTCAAATAGATATTTATGATTTACAAATTGTAACAGTTTGAAAATAATTTTTAAAAATATGATGTATTAAAAATTAATGTAAATTATAACTGTTCTTATTTTTATATTATATTTTTGGCAAGTTTTCAACCCTTGCCTTACGAGGTCGCTATTTCTCTTGCATTTAGAGTCGATACCGTTTATGAAATAAATATAATTTTTTATTTAATTAAAAAATATGATAAATATTTAATTTAATGAATGTAAGAATCAAATTTTTAATATTAAACGTTTTGTAGGCTTTTCTTGTATTCTCCAAAGAAGTTGCTAATGACGGAAGACGATTTTATATCGTAACTGATGCATTTACCATGTGGAATATACTTAAGTAATTATATTTACATGTTAAATTACGTTAATTGAATTTAATATAAGATATATATAATTTTATTTTCTTTAATTTTTATATTAATCAAGTTCATACCCTCCCAAAGAAAGGAATTTTCATGAAGTAATTCCTGAAGGTATAAAATATAATATCGACTATATATTATTAAACACCAAAATTATAATAAATTATCTCTTAAATATTGTCTAGGAGTTCCATGTAAACTATACTTTGATCTAGAGTTCAAATATGATGTTAATCCCTGTTGTAATGGAGATGAATTGGTCAAGATATTTGTTAAGGTTTGACAAAATTATGCATTTTTATACTTAAAATAAAGTATAAATATAACTATTCTAAATTTAATATTTATGAGTTTTAGAAAATATATACTTATTTTTGCTTTGTTTAAATACATTTATTTTGAATTTCAAATTATGAAAATTATTTTATTTTTAAGTTATAATATAGGCTTACTTTAAGGCACAAATTATGGTTAAAAATTAAAAAAATATATACTTATTTTTGCTTTGTTTAAATACATTTATTTTGAATTTCAAATTATGAAAATTATTTTATTTTTAAGTTATAATATAGGCTTACTTTAAGGCACAAATTATGGTTAAAAATTAAAAAGATAAATTATCATCGTAGTAGCATTTACAAACTTTCATTATCGAAAGATCAATTTTTTTACGTTTACCATTGAAATTTTCTATATAGGTTAATAAACTAATATGTACAGTTGAGTCTCGATAGTTCGAGCCACCCTTAAGCCAAAGTACACGTACTCAACCAGAACGCATAAAAATTACTTCTTTGAATAATTCAGATAAAGTGTACGATGAGACACTAAACACTGAAACTAAGCAAGCAAAGGTCTAAAATCGGCTTTCAATTTATTGCGTTGTGAAATGAGATGGTTTCCACTTACCCCGTATTGTACAGTACAAGACACCATGAATTTTAAGAGCAATGTATTATTATTGTTGTTGTGTTACTTAATTAATGTTGTGTTATTTTATAATAATAGAAGTGGATGTTTATATGGCCAGTTCATGGCAGTATGAACAATCATTATTATTATTATTTATTAATGGAACTATTTTATTATTATTACGAACACACTTCCGGCATTAAAAGCTGAAACATCAAGTTCTGCGGTAAACTTTAAGACCATTTCTTGAAGCATTGGTCCTAAGACAAAACAGACCTGTGGCCCGACTGCGATTGAATCACTCAAAAATTGTTCTATTGGCGTCTTCTTTTGGTCTTTTCATTTCTTTTTGCTTCTCGTTCAATGAAATAAAAGTTCCTTATTGGCAAAAATTGTTTGGATTTGGGTCTTCTCACAGTTAAATTTCTTTTCCAGTTGTTGCAATTTTCCAATTACACTTTTCTTATTACAAAAATATTTTTGTTTAAGGTAAAGAATGAAAACTTCCTTTTTCTTCGTACACCTGACATCTACCACAACTGACCTAGAATAAAGCTATGAGCTCTAAATTTTGTGGTAATTCTCAGAAAAACATGACTGTAAGGAGAATTTAGCCAAGAGACGGAAGAAGTGAAGAAAGACCAGGAGAAGCTGTTATTTGATACTTGATATGTGCTGCGTTGTATCCAAACACATAAATTTAGAAAGATATTGTAGTATAATTTACAGATTTAAAAATCACATTATTACAGTACTAAACATAAGAATAAAATTAAATACTGTAAGTATTGTAAAGAAATCACATCAGTTAAGAAAGTTTCTCAAATTCTTTTCATCCATTTACAAGACTTCATTGAAGTCAAGAAATGACTATGACCTAAATAAAGTGTTGAGTGAGATATACAAGCATGAAAAATACAAAACAACAAATATCCATTAACAGCAAACTTTGTCACTTGCTAATTAAATAGTTTTTTGTATTGATAATATAAATAGGAAGTTCTTTTAAGTTATGTATGCAGCGTCATCTGTTAAGAAACATAATAATTAAAGAAAAGAAAATATTCTTAAAATTTGTAATTCTAAATTTTCGAACTCATATTTCAACAATTTAATTACTTTTTTATTGTGAATTTCTATAAAATCGAATTTTACATAACTAAATAATAATACCCAAGTATGAGAAAATAATCTGAAGAGCTTACTCCTATGATATCTGTTTTAATGGGTATGATATATAAATGTTAATGCATTGTATCTAACTAAAATTTTATATTATAATATAATTTTCAAATTTTTTAGTAATTATATAATGTTTGTGATTGCTACATTAAATATTTTTCACTTGTTTGTAGCTTGTATGCTGGGGTTTAAGAAAAAAGTTTGATTTATGTTGTGATATGAACAATGTTTTATGGCTCACTGCCAGGTAATAAAATTATAAATTATTATTTTTTAAATTATTATTGCAGAATACATTATCATTTCATATTTTTCAGTTCAAAGGAAAAATACAGTAGCCATCTTATTTTTCAGATAGATAAGGTTGCCTTTGCCACCAATATTGATGCAGGTATTTATATTATACCTTAGAGTTGTTCAACAATTTCATTTTACTGAATTAGTTTATGTTATTTTCGTTTACTAGAGCATATGTAATTTCAATGGCGCGTTATAGCTTCATAGGATCCAGGTCAATTTGAATTACGGTGCTCCGTGTACAGTCTTAACTTCAGACCAGTGGTGCACCCAGAGGGGAGAGCCAAAGTAACCCTAGCATAACCCAGAGAGGAGAGCCAAAGTAACCCTAGCATACTCCGAAGTAAGGGGGTGTTTCTTTGGAGAATTTTCCAAAAGTCTTTTCTTAATTAAAATCATTCTTTTATTTATATTGTGTGGTGTCTTCTATTTCTATACTACATATGAATTAGCGTTCACACAAGGTGGGAATTTTATTGAATTCGCATTTAAAATGTTTTTATCCGTTTAAAACTCTGCTCCTGAGTCAGGAAAGGCTGTCAGTGACCCCAACATTGCGATACTCCTTCGGATATTTTTCTTCGGAGGGAAGTATTTGGGGGAAATATTTTCTTATAAAAGATCGGTGTAGGGTCCTCTGTTGGTGGAGCCCCAGACAATTGCCCTTTTGCCCATAGGATAAGGCGCCACTGTGTAATTTTATAAAGCAAAAGTGTTTTCGTAAGAATAAACTTTTTTATAGCAGTGATTCCCAAACTTTTTCAACCCTCCGCCCCCTTTGTTCAATAGAGTTAAACCAAACTCTCCCCAACCGCCCCAACGATCCCTAACTCATTTTCTTTTGTGTGAGTAAGGCTTAGAAATATTCTTAGGAAAACTTTTCTATGAACACTGTGTCTATACCGTACATTGTTCTCAACATCTGGAAACCATTAAACTCAATGTTTCTTCTCACCCGTTTAACAGAAGAAAAGGAAAGGCTCTCAGTGACCCCAACATTTGCTTATGGTCACCGTTTAGTACCCTGCCTCCAGCGCCCATTGTCGCCTACTTGCTTTTTTTGCCTCCCCTAGATTTGATCACCGCCAAAAGGGGGCGGTAGCGCCCACTTTGGGAACCACTGGTTTACAGGTATACAGTATTGGGTATACAGGGTTAGTCAAAAGTCCTTTTCATTCCAAAAATACTGATAATATATTAATTTTGTTAATGTGGTTGTATAGGATAGGAAGTCATGCGTGGAGAATCGGATGGGACATTTTTCGTTGACCTTGAAGATAATTTTCAAGGTACTGGTGTGAAAATTTTTAACGAGAAGGGGTAACGCGAGACTAACAAGGTTAAAAAGCACCGTTTAATTAATCATTTTCTGGATCCTTAATCGTTGTGTAAACAGATATTGAAGATAATAATCCAATTTCAAAAATGAACTTTAAATTCGCGAGGAGTAAAAAATAATTTTGTTTCAAGTGACTTAAAAATGATTTTCAATGTTAACAAAAAGGTTCTATTCTATTCTCCATACATCACTTCTGTTGCAAGTGTTGCATGTCCTGTTTCGCATTAAACAAAATTAATGCATCTATAGTATTTTTCAGCAAATAGAAAGGGCGCAAGTGATTTTTGACTCACCCTGTAAAATATTAATATTTAACAAATTACAGAAAAAATGTATTAATTTTTTTTCTATTTCAAATCATAATCTGTTAATTAAGGTTTGTTAGAATGATTCTGAACTTTTTTTTAAGTTGCTATTCAAATTACCCGTTGAAAATAGGCCTATATTAAAAATGTTTAATTTAAACTTTATTTTTAAATAGGAAATTTTGTACATTATCTTTGCTACGAAATTAATAATCCTTCAGAAGAAGAAGAAATAATTGATAACTTCGAGAAACCATCGAAAGAAGAATTAAAAAAACTTATAATTAAAAATAGAGATAAAGAAGATATATTCTGTGATTTAGGTGAGAAATTATAATTATATTAAACTATTTTTTTAAATTATAATATTAATATTTTTAATTTGTAGCTGTTTACAGGAAGAATAACAACTTCAGACTTTATTCATCAAGTAAATTTGATACAATTAGACCTATGCAATTGTCCACAGAAAATGAATATTATTTCTTCCCATCTGTTGATGATAAAGAAATTTTTTTAACATCTTTAGTGACACTTCTCGAGTAAATTTATTTTATATAATTAATATCATTCTTAGTTTATAATTAATTAAAATATTAATGTATTAATATTTCTGTTTTAATAATATTTATTTACGAGTATATACACAGTTATTCAAAGAGATCTCATACAAAATCTTGAAGAGTTTTGATAATATGATTCAAATGAGTTTTACATGGAATAAATTGTTCAGAAACGAAAAGTTGAACATTTATTATACTGTATTGTAAATGTTTATTTTGATGGTTAAAATTATGAGGTCCAAGATGAATGGCTTATCCCTCACCATCCAATTGTCTTCATTGTGGACCTGTTGTACCCACCTTAGGGTTTTAATCATACTCACGTTATGGTCAATCATACCTTGTTAATCATACCTTCACTTAGGATTGTAAAAGAACCTACAAAAAATCTAACATACTGTGTGTTGACTGTTAACTTTACACAAATCGAAATAGAAGGGCGATCAGCAAGACCACATGGTTTTTAGTGACTCTCTTCTACATGCCGTTTTAAACGTATTAAGTATTTAAATTGAAATTCAAAATTTATAAAAAATAGTTACGATACAAATTTATATTTATTAAAAAAACAGTAAATAAATAATATTATTACATGTTTGCTTCCTTCAGCTGACAGAAAACATATTTTTTAGATAAAGATTATAAAACGTTTTAATTAATTACAGGAAGACCACTATAAGGAACTTTTTAAGATTCGAAGATACTTATAAACCTAAGCCTAAAAAGAAAACTAAGAAATCTAAAAAGAAAACAATTGTAGAAGGAAATAGTAAACGTATTTACATTTTTATTGATAAAATTTATATAAATTATTCGATAAAAATTGATATAAATATTATCCTGTTTTAGCAGGTGCAGAAGAAATCATTGTTGATGAATATCAAAAAATATTAAATGACAGTTTGACGGAAGAAGAAGAAAAATATATTTTGGAAATGTGTTTACAGATGGAAATACAATTTCATTGGGAATCAATTTACAATAAAAAGAAATTAAAACAATAAATAAGATTAAATATATATAAACTATTATTAGAGCCTACTCAGTTGAAGAAAGGAGGAGAGTAAGGTGATGAGAAAGAGGAAAAATGATTCCAGTAGGATGAGGTGAATCAGAAAGAATGAAAAATGTATACGATATTTGTTGAGAAATGTTAACCATAGAATATATATGTTTATACACATTATATTAAACATAGAATTAGTTAAATATGAGTAATTCTTATTGAAATTATTTCTCAGTACGTTCTGGAGTTTAAAAGTTTACATTAAATTTTTTAAACATTATTACTAATATTAAAGTGTGAAGCTTTGGAAGTGGAAGTGCAAAAAAAGAAAATTTTTCTAATTTTTGTATAGAAGGAAATTATTATAATAATTCTTATAATATTGTAAAAAGAAACCATCAAACGCAAAACGAATATTTTATGTCCGTATAAAGACATATCTGTAGAAATTTCTAAGAAAAAACGAATTTTTCAGAATGAAACAATAGATGAATTTGAGTGCTTAGATCGAACATCTTCGATAGGAAAAAAATTGTCAGTCGAAGTTGACTCACCCCGCGATCTGGGCTCCGATATCGTTACAATTCGTAACGAGGAGGGGGACCAATTAGAGAGCGGGGGCAGATCGGCATCGACCTATCGGATGTTCGATCTGGGACCCAGAAAAAACATAAAAACCGCGCAAAAAAAGGATGTGACGTTCTTGGTTCGGCTCCTGGATTTTTCCTGCGGTTCAACAACGGAAACTTGGTCGACGTTCCGGAAGAAGTTTTCGCCATCCCGCCCCGGCAAGTTTCGCCAAGTGTAACCTGCCAGAATCACCCCTACAAGTTGTGCTGTGCGCCACGTAGCCTACGTTTTCCTCATCATCTTCACCAGAAGAAGAGAAGATAGTCGGAACGATTGAACTTTATTTGCGAACTGAATCACTCTTCGGATAGGCCTTACGCCGAAGTAAAACAGCAGTTGTAAGCATAATTTTTATATTTAATAAACTGTTTGCGATGGAGGACCTGTCTCAATAAGTTTTTCCACTCCCACGCGACAGTGCTGACCGCCCGATTGACACTTTCTCCCCATCGGTAAACCTCACAAAAGAAGTAAAATATAATTAAATAATAAAATGTTTCAGACATAGAGATTTTCCTCATTTCGAAATTATGACCTTCTATGATTTTTCTCTTTTGTTCTTTTTGTTTCTCATGATCTAAGATAATTTGCATGGGAAATTATAAAATTATAAAGAACTTCCATTACGAGTAGTGATGCAAGTGGCCTATGATAGAGTACGACGGGGATAAAGTTGTATTTCATTTTTCACCCTCAGGAGTTCTCTTATTCTCTGTTTGCATTCTGCATATTTAATCATTTTACACAGATTAGTACCTTCATATTTCTTATTTAACTATGGATAAAATATTAAACATATTTAATTGCCTTAACCAAGTACTTATTGATTATTAACCTTACAAAATTATATATATATAGGCTATATAAATTTTAATGACAAAATTTTAATTAAAATTTTCAAATTTGTTGATTTTCTGCTGAATCATTTTATTCATTTAGTTGCCAAGCTGATTTTATTGAAATTCTATGAAAAAATTCTCATTAATTTCAACTTAAAAATTACAAATATGGACAAAGTCATAAGAATGTAAGCAAAAAGTTTCCAATTAAATTTATATAAAACTACATGTTGTATTTTTTTATTTTTAAAACGGGACTGTAAAGGTGCATTAAATCTTTCTTCGTAACTCAGAATTGTTTCTCTAGCTTTATGCCACGAATTTGGTCCTTGTAATCTATACTGATAAGGAAGACTAGGACCCATCATTAATGCTCGAAACAAATCGAAATCAGTGAAAAGCATCCTAAGAAAATTTGGCTTAGCATTAATATATGAAGCGATCTCGTCTAGATAATCGATATAATCCACCTGAATTGTATGTCTCTTGGAACTATAATAACGTTGTTTTAACTGATCTAATGTTAATTTAACATCCTCTTTCATATCTTTCTCGCTTGGTAAAGTAACATTCTTCTTTAGAACTCTCACAAACCATCTGCTTTGCATTTCAGAAATAGGAAACAATCCTCCAACAATTTGAATCAATCCAATTACAGCAAGTGTGGGATGCTGTAAATGAGGAGGATATACAAATTTGTACAACTCTATTTGATTTTCGACTGTTTTTATGATATCCTTGCTTACGAAAGGGAATTTTATCTCATATCCTGTAGCAAAGATAACTTTGTCAACTTCAGTTACTTTATCTTCTCCTTCAAAAATCACCCCTCTCTCTACAAAACATTGGATATTTCCTTTTACTATAACTCTTCCACTTAGAATTCTATTCGGAAGTGAATCGTTAATCATAGGATGCTGCTGAAGTATACGATGCTTCGGTTGTAGCTGATACTTTTTATGATCGAATCTCGAATTAAGTCCATTTTCAATAGTCGTACACGTGTAATCAAAGGGTAGAATGTGAAATAAAATATTTCTAAAACGTCTAAGCAATTTATCATCGTAGGGACGTCCATTTCTTCCAACTCTGTGAAACACCCAGCTTCCTCTTCTTGTGCTTAAATAAACCTACAGAATTTAAGTTAAATCTTTCGTATAAGTAAACTATAGCCTATATTTTACAACAAGTTATAACCAACTAAAGAAACTAACCTGTGAAGCAACATGGCTAACTTCTACTGCTGCATCACCTCCAGAATTTCCGACACCCACTACTACCACCTTTTTATCTTCGAACATATCAGGCTTTTTGTATGTGTGAGTGTGTATAATGTCACCCCGGAAATTCTTCTGACCAGGAAAAGAAGGCATATAAGGAAATACATGATGTCCCGTGCATATCATAACTGCTCCAACGACTTCAACATGTTCTAATCCACTTTTCAGATTTAAAACGTGAATTTCCCATTTTCCTGTAGTACCATAATCATCGGCTTGAGTAATATCTTTGACACGATGCTGGAATTTGATATGAGGGATTAATTCGAATTCTTTGGCGTAAAGTTGTAAATATTTGAACATCAAAGTATTATGCATATAATTAGGAAATTCTTTAGGAGGTGGGAAATCGCTGAAAGCTGTTATCTCTTTACTAGTGTTGATTATTGTAGATTTGGCAACAGAAGCTAGTCCTTCTTCGTCGTTGTCTCTGTATCTCCATAAACCTCCAATGTTATCACTTCTCTCGTAACAAATTACATCTATTCCTTCCTCTTTACACGCTTTTATGGCTGTCAACCCACTCGCACCAGCACCTATAACTGCAACTCTCATGTTTGTGCAACGGAGTGGTAAATTTTGTCCTTGCAGATCCTTTATATTACAAGCAGTCACTGCCCCTAAACGTTTTTTTTAAATTGAGAATTTATTTCTTAATTTTATTTTCAGATATTTTAAGTGTTATTTTTATAAGTTTAATTTGAATAAGTGACCTATTTAATTTGACAAAAGCTATTCATTTCAATGGAGAAAGTAAGGATCTAAAAAACAAGAATCTCACGAAATATTTTTCTTAAATTTCTGGAATTATAAATTATAAAAAAAAAAATTAAAATGTTTTAACAAAATATAAATACTATATGATGTATAATTATGTTAATATTTAAGTTAATACAATCAAACCTCTGAACAACGGCTACTGACGGAACATAAAAACAGTCGTTATTTGGAGGTTTCCGTTGTTCAGAGGTTATTTTGTATACATTTTTGTATAAACCACAAGTTTCTGAAAAAAGTGGCCGCTGTATAGCGGTGGCCGTTGTTAGGAAGAGGAAGTTCGAGTGTACTTTCGTTGTTTGTACGCGTATATTTTCAAATTATGCAATGCTAATATCTAAAGAACTAATATTTTAATAATTTATTTTCTATTAATTTTTAAAATATACGCATTAAAATGTTATTTTATTATAGGCACAAAAGTATCAATAATAATACTTTAGTACTTTGATTTTGATGTTAAAAATATCTTTAAATATACAAAAAATCGTTTAATTTAAATTATAATTTAAATTCCGAATTTTTGTTTATAAGTAATAATTTAAACCGCCATCGTAGAGTCTGTTCTTTTCCTGTATAGTTTATACATGAATATAGATGTATTCCTTCAGATGCATGACAGCTGACTGATACGTAATAATTACACAGAGTTTTCCTAGAATTGTCAAGAATTTTTAGTTCAGGGAAGATTATAGTCGAATAAAAATATTCAATTTTTTGTTCTCAGAATTAAATACATTTTAAAAAAATACAAAATGTAGCATAACAATGAAGAGTTTATAGCACCTTCAGTGACAGATTGTGAGTTAAAAATTGCTTCAAAATGTCAATAACCATTCATTTTTATTTATAAAAATGAATAAATTATTAAATCAATATATTTTCTTTAATATTTTTTTTAATATTAAAATATTAGTTATATAAAAAGTTTACGAATTCATGTTGAAAATGTATTAATAAATCATTAAATTAAAGTGCATGTATGCAATTTAAGGGGAATCGCAAAAATATACAGTTTTACACGATGGGGGAGGAAGGAGTCTATGAATTATCTACGTGGAATTTTTTTAGTTGTATCAGTGGCATATGAATTTATTTTATAAGCTTATTACTAGGCATGTCAATGAGTTATCAGGTTAAAAAATATTTCCAGAACTTTTTAAAGTGATTTATTCAATGTCAGGGGGTTTGTGAACTATTGTACACGTAATTAAGGGGATAAACGATTTGTCAAAAGTACTTTTGACAAATCGTTTATCCCCTTAATTACATCATTACGAAAATTGAGAATGGGTTAAAAGTGGTTCAAAAACTGTACACGTAATTAATAGACTGCCTTAAATTTGAGTAATAACATGTATTCATACTTTAATATTCAAGACTTTAATATAATTTGGTTAATTTAATTTTTGGAATTAAATATATTTTATTTCATAAATAATAATCAGATGAATCTTATAGTTTATCATTAATTAGAGCTATGTAATAATATAATAATTCAGTTATATAATAAAAGGGATAATAAATAATAATTATTATCTTTATTTATGTAACTCTATACCGGCTGGAAGAACCACATACTGTATGCATCATCGGCAAAGATTTTTTTTTTAATGGGAAGGTCACATATTTTAGATGTAACTCGTAAGATTTCATGATATATTGCAAATTGCGCAAGTGTGCAAATTTATTATACAATATGAAAATCGTCATAGATAGATTGATGTCTTTATTGAGAAAGAGAACAGAAAACAAGTTTAATTTTCTTGTCATAATTTTATCATTTTATATTTTATCAGGCCTCAAACTTCTGTTTTGTCATTCAACTTATTAAGATATGAACGAAAATTTGATACGTCGTCTACTCTTTCTTATTTGCGAACCATAAAACACCTAGTTGTATAATACAGTATTAACATTTTTGAAACACATTGGTTGAAGAACTGTGTGGGTTATCAACGATGATTACTTTTTCTATACACTTTAGTACAGAAGGCAACAGTTAGTCTTTGCTTTCCAAGCTCTGTCTGCAATTGTTTACAAAACAATTACAGACAGAACTTTAACAACGAAAGGTTTAGTCCGTATTTCTGTATCGTGTTCAGCATTTTCATCAATAATAATCGAAACTCTTGATTTTTACTCATCAATAACATCATCGTTTACTTTTGATTTTCGTCATAAACTGCTCAAAACATAATATTGTGACGCAAATGAAACTTGTCAAGTCATCCACTTCTTGCATGAAAATTCGAAACATCAAGTTCTTTGGCAAACTATGAAACTATTTTCTTGCGGGCCATTCGCCCTACTGCGATTGAATTATTCCAGAATTGCTCTGTGAATCTATTCCTTCTTATGGATTCCCCTAAGATACGGTGACAAGATTTGCATTGGAAAAATCGACTTAAGAATATACTGTAAGAAAGGAAGCATTTTGTATAATGAATGCTTGTGTTATAGTTATACTTTTTAAATTATAGAAAAAAGTATGCATGAAGAAGATTTTTACAGTAATTATAAAGTAGACTTTTTAGCTGAAAAGAAGTTTTTGAAAGGTTTTTTTTTTTTATCTGAGGAGACGGTAAAAAATTAAAAATGAAATTTCCAACTTTTCAGTGTTGTTTATATATTAGATAGTTTATCAAACACTGTTGTTATTTATTCCTTTATCTAAATAAAACTAAGTATTAGAAATAAATATCTATAAGCCATCTTTATATTTATTCCTAAAGAAGTAAGAATAAAAATATGATAATCTTAGAAAAAATTATCATTTATTGAAAGAAAAAACATTTAATGTTACTAAAATATCAGGGAAAATAGCAGTAATCGGGTCAGTGTACTATTTTCCACTTTGTCATTCTGCTATCGAACGAGAACAAATTTTTTTTAATCATAAAATTATATGAGGTCATCATTTTTACAGTAGAGAAATCATTACTAAGATCATTTAATGTTATACACAATCATAAATATTTTATTTAAAAAACTGAACGAAAGTTTTCATATTATATATGAATGCTTTTATTTACAACTTTTCTTTGAATTTTTTACAATATAAGATAATATAATTTACAATATTCATAAATTTAGCTAGATTTAATATAAAACAATTTTCTGTGATGATAATATTAATTATATAACAGCAATTACTATAAAATTAGGACGATTAAACTGATTATTCCGTTGAATAATTCAATAAAATCTAGTTAATAATTATAATGTTTATATTAAAAATTAAATTAATCAACATTAATTTAGCTGAATTTATTCCAAAAAACCAAGCACCTGTGATTTTCTTACTCCGTATTTTAATAGGAATATGCTATATATGAACTATTACTACTACTACTATTATTATTTAATATTAAAATCATAAATAATTAAGATATTTATCATTAGGCATAGAATATGGGTCAGCAGTGGACTAGGGCTAAGAATCTCTCAAAATTTAGCAAAAGTGGAAAATGTATTAACAATTACATGATACTGATATAAATTAAAGTTTATTTTCACAAATAACGAAATTTTATTTTAATTTATTTTAAAATTAATTATAACTTTCTCATGAGATGGGATGAGACTTTGACTAAGCTAGCAGTGTAATCAGATCAGGGAGAGGCTCATTAAGTCCAGTCTCTTTACTTTTAAGTATAAGAAAAGTACTCTAGAATATGTTTAATATGTCAAACACACCTATACAAATATTCCTATATGTGTATATACATTGCAAGGTCCATATAAAAGTTAGTCTATAAGTCTGTATACAATATTTAAAAACTTACTTTTCATTCACAGGGATAAATGTGAGTTTGCACGTTCTGATTCGAATCCCCTTAAAATCAGTTTCAGTTGTTCTTTAAAAATTAGTATTTTCTACTGTATATTAATATATTAATTTTAAGAATTTATGAATTATTACTTTTATTTTTATCTTAAAAAATTTACCGAATCGACAAATTTATTAAAATAAATTTTTGAATTTTATTTAAAATACCTCAAATTTATATTTTTATTTTAAATATATCATATAATAAATTTCATGTAACTTATAATACAAAATAATAAAATAGAATAATAAATTAAAATAACGATATTAGGCCTTCATACCTGTAAGCATTAAATTAGCTGAATTTATGATTTTGATGCTTAAAATATTATAAAAATAATATTCGAGCGTCGGGTTTGACTTTTTACCATGCTCTAATGGACTTTTACAATTTTTGAAGGGGGTGAATCTGGTTTCACGTAATACAGAATAATCTACAAGAGCACAATACAAATATGCACGACTATACAACTGGTCGAAAAGAATTTTTCAATTAGATGAGGAACACGGTAGAACATGATATGGAAATATATCATGAAAAAACACGATAAAAACTATAGGAGCAATAGGAAAACAATAGGAGCAACGAAATCTGTTACAAGAGACGGCTTTGTGTTTTTCGAAGTCAGAAACCACTATTATTATGATCGCCGGTATTTAAAGTTTCTTTAAGAATTATTATATTATTATCGGCAATGTTCAATTGCATAAAACATCTGAAATATGTGTTCTTTTCCAACGCAGTTTGCACAAATTGAAATTTTTATTGACATGTTATTTTTTTATGTGCATATCTTCTTACTACTTTAATGTGGATAGAAAAATAATTGTATAAAGTTCCATAAATATTACAAAAAATTATATCTAATGTTTTTCTTAGATTAATATTACAAATAAAGTATAAAGATATACACCATACATATACTTGTATAAAGTTTCTGTAATATAATTTATAGAAACCCGCGCACGCACAGGCATCTTATATTAATATAATGATATATGTATTTTATAATACTGTATAGGTAACAGTATACAAATGCTACGAATAATATCAAAAAATAAGCAAAATATACAACTAGTTTAGTCTATAAAAATTAAATAACATATTTATAAGCAAATTCACAGTACCATCACTGTCATTAATTTGGTTATAAACCATATTCAAGAGTTTCCATTGTAAGAATGCTGTATTAAAGTACTGAATATGAAAAATCGATTCCGTCTCAGCCGTCAGCCATTTACGGTAGATATCTGTGAATTATCACTGTTTTGATATTATTTTTCAAAGAATTAAAAAGACAAACATTTATTGTTGAAACGTCAATATTTGGCAGGTATATTTATAAACGAATATTTATACTGTATATAATTTTCTTCTGCAAAGAAAACAGTTGTTTTGATTGTAAAAAGAGAATTTATCTTTATGTAAATAACACCTAGAAATGTTTATACAATATTACTTTTTTTATAAAGTAATTTCAAGCGTAAACAATGGTTGTAGAACTTCAGATTATAAGTGCAAAGAACACTTTTTTTTTTATTTTGAAAAAAAGCATTTAATTATTGCTTCCGGGAGAACTTTTTATGAGAAACTGCCCCTATTTATGTTAAACACACCACGTGTTCAGATCGTTATTCAGGCGCGAATTCGCGACTACTTACTAGTGTTCAGTAGTTTTACTTATTTAGTCAATTTTAATTAAGAAAATTGGCTTAAAAGTTGCATGTTGCTAGTAAAAGAACGTTTACATTGTTTGATTGAAGATTTTGATGAAAGAACTTGCAAACAAAGAACACAAAATGTTGACAGAAATATATTAAATATATACAATGGATGAATGATGTATATGGAAGTAAGTATATACAATTTTGTAATTTGGTTGAAAGAACATCAGTAGCGATGACACGCAAAGATACACCTAACAGTAGATGATATATATCGTAAAAATACCTGTATATAGGAAACAGTATGTAAGCATGATGCGATTTTGTGTAGAAACCTTCGGAAAGAATAAACTGCAAAGTCGAGAACTTACTGTATATTGAGAAATAAACTTTACTGTTTTATGTACTTCTTTGTATTTCACATAAGGAGAAGCTACTTCTTATAATTCGCTGTATTAAATTATCCAGTGGGTACTTATTCGCACTGTATTACTTGTCCTTATTTCCTTATTCCTCCCCGTCCTTCTTGTTGGGTTGCACTTTTCAAAAATTATAGACTTATAAATTTTTACTGGCGTCTGTCTGTTTGTCTGTCTTCTCTTAATCTCGCGAACGAAGTTAGATAGATAAAAATCAAGACAAGATATAGAAAGCTTAGGGACAAGAGGCCCTTTATTATATTCTTTTTCTTTCTTCAATTCTATTTAACATGATCAAGTTAGAAGTATTTCGTAAATTGGTAATTGTTTAAAAATCTAATTACTTTTATTGCTCATCTAAACTAAAAAATATGATTTTATTAATCATATTTTTTACATAAATCTATGTTAAAAAAGAAGTAAAAAGATTAGCCTAAACCATAGCAAACCTAAGTGAGGGTTGCTTTGTTTGTATTTGGCGTAAACTAACTTTACACAAATTATTATTACACTAGATTAATTAATTCGAATAGATCAAGCATACAAAGACTGTACAAATGATGCATTTATTTTATGTACAATGAGAACTGTTACACAGCTGTACAATATACACTATTCACACTATTTACGAAACACTATGATTGTTTATAATTTACAAAATATTAGAACTGATTCACGTTTCGACTGCATGGCAGCATTATATTCTATTATACAAAGGTTTTTCAGCATAGAAACAATTCACCAGCCATACTTAGTTTGCGCTCTGTGAAAAAAGTCTTCGGGTTCTCCCTCTCTTAATAACCAATACGTTTCCATCTTTCCTTTACCCTGTTCAAATATATAAATTTCAAGTGATATCAAAGTCTAAACTACAAAATTATGCTTATACAAGCAAGAGACGGTCCAAAAAACTTACTTTAACATCGATCTCTCCTCTTGGAACAACTATAAAACTGCCAAAACGATCTAAAAGATGCTTTGTTGATGAACTAATATGAATTTTCAATGCTAAAAACAATTTTTTATGTAATTAACCTTTATTTTATAAGGTCATTTACAAGTAGAATTAATAAAACTTACGTTCTCCAGTCGATTCCATTCTTGAGGCTGTATTGACAGTATCACCAAAAAGACAGTATCTTGGCATTTTCTGTCCAACTACTCCCGCACAACAAGATCCTATAATTTATAAGAATTTTATTCAATTTATGAAACTTTTATGAAATTATTAAAAATTATTTGCATTCTATCATACCTGTATGGATACCGATTCGGAGCATTAATTTTTCTTCTGGTCTGTGTCGAATATGAAAATTTTCCATGGCATGGAGAAGAGTTAATGCAAGACGTGAGATTTCATAAGCATGGTTGATTCCATTTCTATCTGGAAGGCCTGAAACCACCATATACGCATCACCTATCGTTTCCACCTAAAATATAAAACCATACTTTGTTATTATTGAAGTACAAAGGGGTCTTTGTAAAAAGTAAAAATTGTAAGTGATCGTAATTAAAGTACTATATCCCTATTCAACGCTGTTCAAAAAAATATTTAGCATTGCAAATGCGACCAAATCAAGTTTGGTGACATTTCAGTATACGCTGAAGGCATTTCCATAAAAAGGAAATTAGTATCAAAATTCGCCATTTTGGTGCTGCAAACAAGCATTTTATTTGTACAAGACTCATGCTGTACAGGGAATACTGCTCAAGTTGGTCCTCTTTCTAAAGATGTAAAACTTGATGGCGATGGATTTTGAGTTCAATTAACTTGCTGTGATGCTTCTCAACTATAATGTAATAGTCTTTAAAGCTTTCAAATTCGCAAATGTCCTCGAAAAAGCACACTATTTTAAGTGTCTCTACAAATGAAACTATTTCTTTTTGTTGCTTGCAATGCCAGAAAGTGTTATAGTGGTGAGTTTTGGTACTAAATTTTTTAATGACAATTTCTTCCTTATATCCTGAAATGCCATCATACCAGATTTGATTGTATTTGGACTGCTAAATATCTCTCCGAACATCATTGAACACATATTTTTTAATCACAATCACACGTACAATTAAACCTCAATTTAATGCCATTATTTCTTCACATCTGAAATTAGCGCAAAGTCGAGTATGGCCGAAAAATTTAAAAACTGACTTACCTTATAAACATCAAAATCACTAACAATGGAATCGAAACAAGTATATAGATCATTTAAGAAATCCACTACCTATAAAATACAATAAAAATATCTTTAATTTCTAAAGATAATATTCCATAAATAATAAATTATAAATAAAATATTAAGTGAAGAATCTCCTTTAAAGCGATATTTAGTTTAATTATTGAATTTTAAACATAAAAATTCAATAATGTCATTAAATTCTAAAATATAAAAGTTCTTATTCGAACAATGCTTGAAGCATTAAGTTCTATTAATAAAACTCCAACATTTTGTATTATTTGATATTTTAATTTACAGTACATGACACAACCCGTAATTGTTAAATATAATCTCTATTATATACAGTACATTTTATATTTTAAAACAATCTTATATGTCTTCTATTAATAAATGTACGTGGAATATTATTTATTGTTTAATATTTACAAGTTGACATAAATAAATAAAACAAGTGTGTACAAACACACAGTTCTAAATGAATTTTTTAACGTTTTCTCACTGAAAATTGGATTATTTGCTTGTTCAAATCAACAAGCGAGCTCTCTGTATATTATCTTTGTTGTAATTAACAGTGAAACTTTGTTTTCTTGAATTCTCTTTATGAATGTGTCTCTTTAATCTTTAATCCGGTAAACTATCAATAAAACTGTATTGATAGTCTACCGAACTTAATTTGTCAGATTAAAGAGACACATTCATAACGAAATAACAGCTACCATAAGTGATATATTGAATTCTCTTCTATCTTCATATGAATCATATCGATGTAATGGTTAGTGAAACATTTAGAATTATGGTGCCCCTAGATCCATAATATGTAGGAGTCTCCCCAAATTAATAGTGCAATAATTGTAATTTTTACATGTTTTTGAACAACGAAAGGGAGCGAAAGGCATTGCTACTGAAAACACGTCATTACTACTACCACTTTAAAGTTATGAAATGTTACACACACTTCGACTTCTATGAACGAATTTACTCGTGCCAACAAAAAGTTTTACTTCAAAAACTATGTTGCAATGAAATTGTATATATGAATATACACAAAATACTCGTTTTTACGATCTAATTCATTCTCGTAAAGCAATTAAACATGCAGCTCAAAGAAAAGAGCTGTTGACTTATTAATAACAGTGCATTATTTTTAAGCTTTTTAGAAACAAAAATTCAAATTATGTTTCCAATTTATTCAGAACGTAATGTTAACGTCTCAGCAGAAACTCTATACTTTAGTGTATGCTTCACTCCGCTTAAGGAAACTTAGTTTGGTAACCGTCGACCTTTTCTCAAGTTCGGAGAGTAAAATGAACTAAACAATATCGATTATCTCTTCCGCTTACCTGCCAGAAATCATATTATTAAGCTTCAAACTATAAGCAAATTTATCTGACTTTTGTATATCTAATATCAGTCTTTTTTAGATTATATTTTCAGGAAGTTTCAGGTTAACAATCTTCTATCTACAAACCATAGGGATGACGTTAACGACAATCTATTGTATTTACTTTATGGATCTTAAAATAAGATGTTTGATTATTTTAGTTGTTCTGTTCATGTTGGAAGTTGTTCTAGGGACAGGGCCGGACCTAAACATGTTGTGGCCCTACGTTGTAACGTATAACAGGCCCTTTTCCTGCGCGATATAATGAGATGTAAAAGTATGAGGCCTAAGCTAGAGATTCATAACGCGAGGTCCTAAGCTTCAGCCTATTTATTATATGCAAACCCAGCCCGCTCTACGGATCAAGCTAATTGAAAAAAAAGCAAATTAAAATAAGTTTCGATTAGTTGGGAAAAATATAGTCTATGTATAAATAATAGAAAACATAATTATTAGCGGAGAAAAATGATTTTAATTCTTAAACAGTCGATCACCCTATAACACTGTTGATTTTTCCGTTTTATATGAATTCCAAATCTAAGTGACTCGTACAGCACGGAATTCATATGAAACGGAAAAATCAACAGTGTTATAGGGGGGTCGACTGTATTTTAATAATCAAAATTTATGTACTGTTCCAGGAATATTATAAATAATAAATTTATTACAAATCCATTCGTTATTTCATAAAATAATCTCGTAAGAAGACATTTTCATAGCTTTATCTATAATTATATTTAATGCATTAAAGTAATGGAGGAGTTATGGATCCAGAAATTGTACATGGAACCTCTAGAAGCCAATAGTTAGTTGAAAAGATCTTTAAAGTTGCGGAAACATTTTTTAATATTATTGAAGAATAATAGAAAAATTTCATGAAATATCTCGAGAACATTAAAATGTATTATATGATTATCAAGTGTTTTAGAAAATAAAAGTATTTTAACTTAAATTATAATTTCACTATTAATTTATCTCTATATTTGCATGTAAGATACATAAAATTGAATATTTATATATTTTTTTCTTTCCAAATTGTTTCTTGTTTATAAAAAAAGAAATAAAAATGCCCAAATTAATTTGGAGACCTCTCAGTAGTTGAGTTCTAAGCAACCACTTAACAGTGGCATAACTATGACCAGTTTTGGGGTGATCCGAATTACAGCGTACAAACCTACATTCTCCCTTGTACCACTGTGGATATAGGCATTAATGCTGTGGATGAAGAGTAAACTCTCGGATATTGTATTATATAACTGCGCTTTTCTTGTAATTATTGAATTATTTTCTTAATTTATTTATTTGAAAAGGTAAGGAGGCTGTTCCCCTTACTAATTGGCAGCGGTGTAACTCCCTTGTTACAACGCTGCTTGTTAATATGCCTAATTTACATTTATAACACACACACAAAAAAAGAAAAATATTATACCTGCATTGGTGTACTAACTGAGCACATTGATGTAAATCCAACAATATCACTGAAGTAAATGGTAACGCTATCAAACATCTCTGGTTCTACGGCTTTTCCTTGTTTCAATTGCTCTGCTACAGACCTAATAATAAAGATTGTAATTAATTATTATTAATAAGTTAATGAAATGTGTAAAATAAAATTTACTTTAAAACATGGTTATAGCTTAGTATTTTCTTACATACCAGGTTTTTATTGAATTTTTTAAATTTAAAAATAACGCAATAAATAAATTTATATACATAAACTTTGATTTGTTAATATTTATTACTATTATTATAATGATAATTTCTAGAATATATGTTATACATTTAAATTGATGGCCGGATAATCGAGGCGGTTAAGGCGTCAGTCTACAGTTTTGATGAATCCGGGAGAGCAATCTCAAGAATTTTACATGGCGTTCTGTCCTGTATACGTCAGGCCACAACATTCATATCCGGCCATCCTATTGTTGGTCTAACGGAAAAAATTGGCCTAGTGTGGGCCACTTTTTAAATATAAGGTACCGAGCATTTTTGAACCATTTTTCATACCCTTTTTCCCTGTTGTATGCAACGATGTTCTTTTGGAAAATCCCCTACTCTCTTTAATTACGTGTACATTTTATGGAAATTATTGTATAATTTATATGCACAGTTATGATTCTTTCCAATCTTTCATAAGCTTATATTTTGGTTTATTTAAACTAAGAATAAANATAAATTATAAAAAAAAAAATTAAAATGTTTTAACAAAATATAAATACTATATGATGTATAATTATGTTAATATTTAAGTTAATACAATCAAACCTCTGAACAACGGCTACTGACGGAACATAAAAACAGTCGTTATTTGGAGGTTTCCGTTGTTCAGAGGTTATTTTGTATACATTTTTGTATAAACCACAAGTTTCTGAAAAAAGTGGCCGCTGTATAGCGGTGGCCGTTGTTAGGAAGAGGAAGTTCGAGTGTACTTTCGTTGTTTGTACGCGTATATTTTCAAATTATGCAATGCTAATATCTAAAGAACTAATATTTTAATAATTTATTTTCTATTAATTTTTAAAATATACGCATTAAAATGTTATTTTATTATAGGCACAAAAGTATCAATAATAATACTTTAGTACTTTGATTTTGATGTTAAAAATATCTTTAAATATACAAAAAATCGTTTAATTTAAATTATAATTTAAATTCCGAATTTTTGTTTATAAGTAATAATTTAAACCGCCATCGTAGAGTCTGTTCTTTTCCTGTATAGTTTATACATGAATATAGATGTATTCCTTCAGATGCATGACAGCTGACTGATACGTAATAATTACACAGAGTTTTCCTAGAATTGTCAAGAATTTTTAGTTCAGGGAAGATTATAGTCGAATAAAAATATTCAATTTTTTGTTCTCAGAATTAAATACATTTTAAAAAAATACAAAATGTAGCATAACAATGAAGAGTTTATAGCACCTTCAGTGACAGATTGTGAGTTAAAAATTGCTTCAAAATGTCAATAACCATTCATTTTTATTTATAAAAATGAATAAATTATTAAATCAATATATTTTCTTTAATATTTTTTTTAATATTAAAATATTAGTTATATAAAGAGTTTACGAATTCATGTTGAAAATGTATTAATAAATCATTAAATTAAAGTGCATGTATGCAATTTAAGGGGAATCGCAAAAATATACAGTTTTACACGATGGGGGAGGAAGGAGTCTATGAATTATCTACGCGGAATTTTTTTAGTTGTATCAGTGGCATATGAATTTATTTTATAAGCTTATTACTAGGCATGTCAATGAGTTATCAGGTTAAAAAATATTTCCAGAACTTTTTAAAGTGATTTATTCAATGTCAGGGGGTTTGTGAACTATTGTACACGTAATTAAGGGGATAAACGATTTGTCAAAAGTACTTTTGACAAATCGTTTATCCCCTTAATTACATCATTACGAAAATTGAGAATGGGTTAAAAGTGGTTCAAAAACTGTACACGTAATTAATAGACTGCCTTAAATTTGAGTAATAACATGTATTCATACTTTAATATTCAAGACTTTAATATAATTTGGTTAATTTAATTTTTGGAATTAAATATATTTTATTTCATAAATAATAATCAGATGAATCTTATAGTTTATCATTAATTAGAGCTATGTAATAATATAATAATTCAGTTATATAATAAAAGGGATAATAAATAATAATTATTATCTTTATTTATGTAACTCTATACCGGCTGGAAGAACCACATACTGTATGCATCATCGGCAAAGATTTTTTTTTTAATGGGAAGGTCACATATTTTAGATGTAACTCGTAAGATTTCATGATATATTGCAAATTGCGCAAGTGTGCAAATTTATTATACAATATGAAAATCGTCATAGATAGATTGATGTCTTTATTGAGAAAGAGAACAGAAAACAAGTTTAATTTTCTTGTCATAATTTTATCATTTTATATTTTATCAGGCCTCAAACTTCTGTTTTGTCATTCAACTTATTAAGATATGAACGAAAATTTGATACGTCGTCTACTCTTTCTTATTTGCGAACCATAAAACACCTAGTTGTATAATACAGTATTAACATTTTTGAAACACCTTGGTTGAAGAACTGTGTGGGTTATCAACGATGATTACTTTTTCTATACACTTTAGTACAGAAGGCAACAGTTAGTCTTTGCTTTCCAAGTTCTGTCTGCAATTGTTTACAAAACAATTACAGACAGAACTTTAACAACGAAAGGTTTAGTCCGTGTTTCTGTATTGTGTTCAGCATTTTCATCAATAATAATCGAAACTCTTGATTTTTACTCATCAATAACATCATCGTTTACTTTTGATTTTCGTCATAAACTGCTCAAAACATAATATTGTGACGCAAATGAAACTTGTCAAGTCATCCACTTCTTGCATGAAAATTCGAAACATCAAGTTCTTTGGCAAACTATGAAACTATTTTCTTGCGGGCCATTCGCCCTACTGCGATTGAATTATTCCAGAATTGCTCTGTGAATCTATTCCTTCTTATGGATTCCCCTAAGATACGGTGACAAGATTTGCATTGGAAAAATCGACTTAAGAATATACTGTAAGAAAGGAAGCATTTTGTATAATGAATGCTTGTGTTATAGTTATACTTTTTAAATTATAGAAAAAAGTATGCATGAAGAAGATTTTTAGAGTAAATATAAAGTAGACTTTTTAGCTGAAAAGAAGTTTTTGAAAGGTTTTTTTTTTTTATCTGAGGAGACGGTAAAAAATTAAAAATGAAATTTCCAACTTTTCAGTGTTGTTTATATATTAGATAGTTTATCAAACACTGTTGTTATTTATTCCTTTATCTAAATAAAACTAAGTATTAGAAATAAATATCTATAAGCCATCTTTATATTTATTCCTAAAGAAGTAAGAATAAAAATATGATAATCTTAGAAAAAATTATCATTTATTGAAAGAAAAAACATTTAATGTTACTAAAATATCAGGGAAAATAGCAGTAATCGGGTCAGTGTACTATTTTCCACTTTGTCATTCTGCTATCGAACGAGAACAAATTTTTTTTAATCATAAAATTATATGAGGTCATCATTTTTACAGTAGAGAAATCATTACTAAGATCATTTAATGTTATACACAATCATAAATATTTTATTTAAAAAACTGAACGAAAGTTTTCATATTATATATGAATGCTTTTATTTACAACTTTTCTTTGAATTTTTTACAATATAAGATAATATAATTTACAATATTCATAAATTTAGCTAGATTTAATATAAAACAATTTTCTGTGATGATAATATTAATTATATAACAGCAATTACTATAAAATTAGGACGATTAAACTGATTATTCCGTTGAATAATTCAATAAAATCTAGTTAATAATTATAATGTTTATATTAAAAATTAAATTAATCAACATTAATTTAGCTGAATTTATTCCAAAAAACCAAGCACCTGTGATTTTCTTACTCCGTATTTTAATAGGAATATGCTATATATGAACTATTACTACTACTACTATTATTATTTAATATTAAAATCATAAATAATTAAGATATTTATCATTAGGCATAGAATATGGGTCAGCAGTGGACTAGGGCTAAGAATCTCTCAAAATTTAGCAAAAGTGGAAAATGTATTAACAATTACATGATACTGATATAAATTAAAGTTTATTTTCACAAATAACGAAATTTTATTTTAATTTATTTTAAAATTAATTATAACTTTCTCATGAGATGGGATGAGACTTTGACTAAGCTAGCAGTGTAATCAGATCAGGGAGAGGCTCATTAAGTCCAGTCTCTTTACTTTTAAGTATAAGAAAAGTACTCTAGAATATGTTTAATATGTCAAACACACCTATACAAATATTCCTATATGTGTATATACATTGCAAGGTCCATATAAAAGTTAGTCTATAAGTCTGTATACAATATTTAAAAACTTACTTTTCATTCACAGGGATAAATGTGAGTTTGCACGTTCTGATTCGAATCCCCTTAAAATCAGTTTCAGTTGTTCTTTAAAAATTAGTATTTTCTACTGTATATTAATATATTAATTTTAAGAATTTATGAATTATTACTTTTATTTTTATCTTAAAAAATTTACCGAATCGACAAATTTATTAAAATAAATTTTTGAATTTTATTTAAAATACCTCAAATTTATATTTTTATTTTAAATATATCATATAATAAATTTCATGTAACTTATAATACAAAATAATAAAATAGAATAATAAATTAAAATAACGATATTAGGCCTTCATACCTGTAAGCATTAAATTAGCTGAATTTATGATTTTGATGCTTAAAATATTATAAAAATAATATTCGAGCGTCGGGTTTGACTTTTTACCATGCTCTAATGGACTTTTACAATTTTTGAAGGGGGTGAATCTGGTTTCACGTAATACAGAATAATCTACAAGAGCACAATACAAATATGCACGACTATACAACTGGTCGAAAAGAATTTTTCAATTAGATGAGGAACACGGTAGAACATGATATGGAAATATATCATGAAAAAACACGATAAAAACTATAGGAGCAATAGGAAAACAATAGGAGCAACGAAATCTGTTACAAGAGACGGCTTTGTGTTTTTCGAAGTCAGAAACCACTATTATTATGATCGCCGGTATTTAAAGTTTCTTTAAGAATTATTATATTATTATCGGCAATGTTCAATTGCATAAAACATCTGAAATATGTGTTCTTTTCCAANATTAATTATTATTATAACATATTATAAATTCACTTTCATTCCTATTTTTCTCTCATTCGGTGCTGGAAATTAGCACTCATGAATGATTAGTGTATTTACAAATTACCACCTTTCATCATCTTCGTAGCGTCATTCTGGCACCATGTAAAGCTGGAACTTGGAAAACTAACTTTTATATTTATTTATTAGAATATAATTGCCTATATGAAAATAAATGTAACCTAGACGCTTTTCTTCCCTTAATGGGAAAAACAAATCGTATTATTGAGGAATTTTAATGCTTAATTCATATTTTTAACTATTATAAAATGGCAAAAGCTTAATTTTCAGGGTAGAGATGGGTTTTATAAAAAATTGTAAATTCTAATAACAAGTAAAATCGTCATTACGTCTGACCCTACTGGAGATACACACGATTCCGTTTATCTCCCCACCTCCTCGACTTTTAACCACCGAAATTTAATAGCATCAATCTTCCTAATACACAAACCTCTCTGGAAAATTTCAGAAATTTTCGATAGAAAGCACAGAAGTTATTAAGCTTCAAACAGAGTGAAAAAATCGTGCCGCCCACACTAACATCAATAGACACAGAAAAAAACCCGAAATATTTTGCATTTCTCGACATTTCAAGGTGTATCGTACTGCAGAAAAGATAACACATGTATGCGAAGATGCGTGCTTCATTAATTGACTGTTCTAGAAAAATTTCTACCAAGTATTTAAGAATGTAGAAATGTCTAGAATATATCCTTAAGCAGCCGAAAGTACAGCTTATCGTGAAAGTAATCTTCGTTAAATGACAATTGAACCAATATAATTATATAACCATAATTCAGGAAAGAACATGAGAAAAATCTTATAAACAATGCAATTCGGATTTAGATAAATTGATCATAATTTTTTGATGCCGAAACGGGCAGGGAGCCACAAGTGATAAATACGGGCCCTCTCTTATTAAAGTTTCATCAAGAAATATAGATGAGCATTATTACAAATTTATCAATGCAATAATAGGGATATTCACTTTGTGTCACAAAAAACTACATACACTTTTACTGAACGATTTTATTTTCGAAAATTTAATAATGAAAAAAATGTATTACATATTAAGTATTTTATTACAGTATGATATCAAATTTAAATTAATAGATTGATGTCGAATGTTTTCCAGCGTCAAATCTTACATATTTTTCAGATGAACTTATGGTTTTTAATAAATTTTAGTCACTCGTAACTTTTATCATAAAACTGATCGCGTTGTAAATCGCAATTTTTTTTAATAACTAAATTATTATTGCTTTATGGCTTAAATATTGAATTTCGATTCCACTTTTGACCATAGGAAAATCCACAAGTGAAAATATTCTTTCTGTACAAACTGCAATTCCTGGCTAAAGAGGAACTAATTCTATCAAATTATTAAAGATCTTTTTCATGAATTTCATTAAATATTTTGACCCATTTGTCAGAGCTGCCGGATGTCCTAGGCGTTTAAGGTGTCACCCTATCGCTCTGGGGACCCGTGTGATAAAAATTCTCAGGAATTTTCCGGAGTACTCTGTCCTGGATAAGTCGGGCCCCGTTCATCACCGCCTAGTCGCCCCACTGTGGCCATGCTACGTAATGTGTCTGAAAAAATACTCTCTTAGTGCCCATAGGGCGGAAAACCCCATCTGTTGTTTATCGTCAGCACACACTAGTGAGGCGGAGTAATAGAATATATTTTTGTGGCATACATTTGATTCTTCGATTTCATTAGAAGACAAAGTGGTTTTCGAAGTATATCTCAACATTATTACTGATTAAGGATATTCAATGATGCTACTAAGGAAAATGGATACTTTCAGAACGATAATTTATCCAGGTAATCAACACAAATGCATCAAAAAATAATTTGAAGAACATGAAAATGCCGAGCATATTTGTAAACAAGCCAATCTCTAGATCTAAAATTTTACGTAGACCTATGAGATAAATGGAAAGCCATGATCTTCAGAATAAAATCTGCATAAGTCCTCAGAATTAAAGATAATATAACTGCTGAAATGGGCAATATTCCTCGCAACATTTATGAATACCACATAACATAATAGCAATATTTGAAGCCATAATGGTGCAGCCTACTATTAGCTCGTGATCTTAATAAAGCGACTATTCAAAGTAAAATAGTAAACTAAGTAATGTACAATTAAGGCTAAATAAATTAAAATATATTAGAATTGAATCAAAATGATTAACTTTTCACTGTTTTAATACTAATTTTTTCGAGAATGAATCGATCTACTTTTTAATTTTAATCAATTAATTATTTATTTACTTTGGAAGAACTTGATATAACAATTCTTCTGATTTTCTCTTTTCTTCCAGGAATGCAGCAGTCCTTTGTTCCACTAAATGTTCTAAATTTCCAGCATATTGTTCCATGCGAGATAATAAATTATCCATTATATTAACTTCTCCGTTCTGACCTCTAGAAAAGAATTTATTAAAATTTCATAGCTCTTTTTCTATGGGGAAAAATGTGTAATATATAACTTACCTATTAATAATTCTCATATCTTGTTTAATTTGCCCAAAGTCTGGTCTATTATCTGGATCGTCAGCCCAACAGTTTTGCATTAAATCTTGAAGTTCTTTAATACATGTACCTTTGCTGATAATCGGACGAAAAGGGGGATCATCAGAACTTCTGACAAGAGCGATGATATCTACGTAGATATAAAATTACATGTACAATATATCATTTGACTTCTACAAAAAGATATAAAAGAAGATTTTTATAATATTTCTCACCTGAAATATCCATATTTTCGATATGAGGATAGAAAGGTTCTTCTCTGAGTACAATTTCTTGTAATATTATTCCGAAACTATAAACATCGCCTTTTTGTGTGCCTTCCGGAGGACAATGATTTAGACGAAGAAGTTCTGGAGCCTTCCATAAATATTCTAAAAAATTTAAGTATTTAAATCATTTAAAAATTCTAAATTTATGAAAGTAAAAATTACATTACACCCTCACTTTACTACTATTTGCGAGTGGCATAAATTTTCTATTATAATTATAGGAAATATATTATTTATCAGTGATTAATCATTAGATAATTGACTACCATATAGTTTATTTTCAATAACGTAATATCAATTTGTGACATTGAGCCCGAGGGAATAAATTTCGATTTACGATGATTCTCTTAACGTCTTTAGGAATCAAAAAGAAATAAAATATCTTACTTTTTTGATCGCCAATTTCAATAGCAATGTATGTTTCATCATGTCGAAAAGAAGGTAATCCAAAATCTGTGAGTTTTAGAACAAAATGACTATCTACAAGGCAATTAGACGAACGAAGACGACCATGAGAACCAATTTCGCCTCCGTGAAGATAACACATACCCTATAAAAAATTCTATTTTTAATTATAGAATTATTTGTAGTTTATTTATTCATATTTTATATATAATTATAAGTTTAAATTAACACATATATACAAATTACTAGTGGCTTTACTAGTAAGACACTGTAATTTTAATACTGTAATTCAATAAAATCACTTTTATTACTGCTTCAAAATATATTAAAAATCAATATTTTATATTATTTTTTAAAAATTCTATTATAATAAATCTTTAAAAAATATTTTTATTCGTCTATAAAATATGTTTAAGTGTAGTTTGGTTTATTTGTTTATGACAACGCGCCATGTGGGCGACCTGCCGAGGGGATGCCATCCTGTAGGTATTCTATGGAAAACTGGTCCCTATTTAGGTTTCACTAACATGAAGAAAACTCGGAAAACTCCACGTGACCAACTCATTGTGAGGGTCGAACCCACAATCAGTAAAACCACTGAACACTGGTAGTTAGTTGGTCACGCGTTCCGTAGTTTTTGTCCGCTGGTGGACATAAATATGTTTAATAAATATGTTTAATTGGATAATTTTAATTATCCAAAATTTGCTTTTGATAATATAATTATTATTAAATATCGCTCAGAAATTTTAAAATAATTTATTTAATTACTTAAATATCTTTCAGCAATTATTTTTAAATTATTATTTAACTTATTTTACAACTTATAAATATCAGATTACTAGCATTTCAATGATTATATAACTGAAAATAGAATGAATGATTAATCATTAAATAATTGATTATATAAAAATTGATAAAGAATATTGCCTTCAAATTGTGTAGATAAATGCTTCTTAGTTCAAAAAGAACATTTAAGTAAACGAATTTAATGTATATTATATAATATCTTAATAAATATTTTTATAATGTCGAATAAAGAATATTTTTCAACAGACTCACACGATATTAGTAGATGTAATTTTAAAAATTTTCTTCAAAATCCTTTCATTGTCAATGTCCTAGTAGAACTGCAAAAGAAACAAACTTAACACATTGAAAGAAAAAAATAAAAATAAATAAATGATGAATAATTTATTAAAATTTCTAGTGATATTTTTAATTAATTTATTTCTTAAATTTATATTTTTAAATAATATTTGTACATTAATCATATATAACCACACAAATTTACAGCATATAATTTAAATTTATAATATAAAAAGTCATGCATAAATGTAAAACTTCTCGTTACAAATATAAATTTAATAATTAAAATTTATTGGATTAATTTAACTACTGGAATTTAAGTTTATTCAGCAAAGTTTGTTAAAAGATAATAATAGAAAAGATGGTATAAGAGTTCTTAAAATAGAAAATGTGTGACAAGTGAATGTAAAATTAGAAAATGAACATTTTATCTAAGCAAAACAGTACAAGTTATATAAAAATAATTAACTTTTATATAAAAAATAATTAAAATTATTCTCTATTATTTTATATCGATTAAATTACTTTCGTAATTAACTTTAAATTGTACTTTCAAAAATATGTCACGTTAATGCTAAAAAAAATAATAAATTTTTAACTATAAAACTACAATTTTGATAATTTATACTCATTACAAAATTTATTTAACCAAAAATACAATTAAACATTTTATAATAATTACTAAAACATATAAAATTGCATTAAAACATAATATAAATTAATCATCTATTAAATTATATTCTTGTACAACATGTTTACCTGATATTTATAATCCAAATTTGGTGTATAAATTAAATAAATTATAAAGTTAAAGCAGTATGAAAATAATAATTATTAAATTATTTTTATTATACATTCGAACCTTCAATAATGGCCACCTCTAATTAGCGGCCATTTTTTCAGGAACGTTGAAGAAAACTGCATTAAAAAACATCCAAACACCGACCACTTTTTATGTTCTCATCATAGGCCGTTATTTACAGGTTTGACTGTATTATATAATAAAATTTATAAGAGAAATTTAATTAATTTGAAATATAGACTAATTATTTTTATATATAATGGCTGTTATAATGTTCTTTTTGAACTAATTATACAATTAATAAATATGGTTATTAGAATTTAATATAATTTTTTATTAAATCTATACTTAATAATTTTTTTTACTAATAAAAACTATAAAATTTTTATTATATTTAATTATTTAAACTATAAATTACAGAAATGTATTTAAAAATACTGTTAAATTGAAGCAGTGGTAAAAGTGATATGTCATAAAAATCAATCAATAGTATAACAGAGGGGTGATTAATTAGACTTTACCTTTACAATGTCATTAATAAGAGAGTAACGAAACATCCAATCTAGATCAAGCGATTCATTATATAGTACATCCTACAATAAAATAATTTTATTAAAAATGATATTTAATTCATAGATAATTTAAAATTCCTGTATGTTAAATTTACCTGTAAGCTACCTTTTGGACAATATTCTGTAAGGATGGCCATGTTAGGTGGGTCAACACACGCACCAATAAAGCGAGCAATATTCTGATGTTGAGCTTCGCGCATCTTAATTAAATTTATTTATTTTTATTAATATGTAATATAAATAAATAAAGTGAAAAATTATATAAATTTACATTAAAATTATTATAAAATAACTCACTATTTTTAATTCCATCAATACACAACGTGTAAGTTCCATTCTTTTCTGTCTGGATGAACGTTTAACGGCTACTGTGTTGCCCTAAAATATAGTTTAATAATAATATCTTAAATAAATTATATTATAAAAAGTTTGTTAAAATTATATAATATAAATTTTTTCAACTCTTTATGTCGTTAAAAATACTGACTTAAAATTAAAGTAATTCTTATGTAGAAGAAATGGGGAAAAATTAATAAACTATATAAAATATACTAAATAATTTATCACTAATTACTATTAAATTTTAAATAATATTTAAATTAATACACGAATGTAAAATATGAAAATAATTATAAATACTATAAAGAAACTGAATTCGCGGTATTATGATGTAAGGCTGCTCCATAAGTCAGGAATCATGTTGATCTTTATTTATTCTGTTACAGATAAAGCATGACACTTAATAACAAAGAATGGATTCAAGCTATTTTGATGGTGTAGACCAGTATTTCTCGATGTTTGTCGTGTCGCGGACTCCTAAAACTCTCTACACCACGATGGACCGCGGACCATCAGCTGAGAAACGCTGGTGCAGGTACAGGTTTTAACAGGCTGCATCCAGACTGTCCATCAATCACACACAGCAGTCTGGATGCAGCATGTTAAACTCTTCAGCAATTTCACGTTGACTTCGGAACCACACCATGAAAATAATTTAAATTCATTCCTCCTTACCTAGCGTCATGATTTACCTATAAAAGAATAAAGAAAAATCAACATAACTCCTGCAACGGGATACTTATGTATATTCTGTTCCTTTCTACTCTATTTAGAATAAAATTTTATCGATTATTTCCACAAGAATTTGTACGTAAACACAAGTTAACTTAATCTATAAATTAACATCCCTATTTGGAATCTGACTCTCATTTGATTTAGGCCCTAATTATCTTCAAATCACTATTTTCGATTGTCTTAAATCATTGATTTGGTAAATTCAAGATAACATTAATATGAAAAAAGTAAATTCTAAATTAATAAAATTCATTTTTACTTTCTCGGCTCGGTTATATATAACAGAGGGAAAGTATGGCAATCGGTCAAAAATTACTCCCAAATTTTTACATCTTTTGACTTAGAGAACCTTGAAACGTCAAGAAATGCAAAAAAAATTCGGGGTTTTTCTGTATGTATGGATGTTAGTGTGTTGGAGGGAGCATAATTTTGTTTACCCAGTTTGAAGCTTAACTTCAGTGCTTTTTGTCGGAAGTTCTGAAATTTTGCAGGGAGGTTTATATATTAGGGAAATTTATGCTGCTTAGGGGAATTTATGCTGCTAGGTTTATATATTAGGGGAATTTATGCTGAATTAGGGGAAATTATGGTGCTTAAAGGTCAAGGGAGTGAGGAGATAGAAGGGGTCACGTTTCATATCTCGAGTGAGATCGGATCTAACGAACATTTTACTCGTGATTAGCATTTACAATTTTTATACAACTCATTTCTACCTCAAAATTTATTTTAAAAATAAAAATTATGAATTATCATAAATGACTTCCATTAATTGATTCGGGTTCATCAGTGGCCAAGCGGTCTTCGTTTCCTAAACACTGGGAGTTCGGACATGGGTTCACGCCTTGCTTTGATGGACTGATCACGTTGGAGTTTCCCCGGGTTTTCTCCGCTCCTAAATAGAGGCCAATGACCGAGTTTCCCTTAAAAATACCTCTCGAAAGGCATCCCCTCTAGGCAGAACGTCCAAGTGTTGCGTTGCTATAACCAAACAAACATTAATTGATTTGACTGTAATAAAACGAAGGCGCTATTTTATCTTTTGTCTTTTCCTGTTTGTAATTGTGCATGACTGANACTGGATTATTTAAATTAATAATTTAAATAAATTCATCTAAAGTTATGTTTAATAAAAGAAAAAAATTCTGTTGTTCTCATATTAAATGTAATAAATAAAAAAACTGGCCAGTTTTAAATCTATTGTTTTTTAAAATCCATTTTCTTATATTATAAGAATTGAAACTGTTTTCTAGAGAAACATGTGCTATATTTTAAGGCCATTTCCCATGTGATTTCTATAGTCTTGTTAGAAAATAACGTAAAGTCTTACAAGGAATTTATAAAACAATTCACAAAGTTACCGATTTAAGTTTATAGACTAAATAAACATTAAAAAGAATATATATAATTACATGAAACTTTGCAGTTTATAGATACTGGTATCTATAATCAAAAGTTGTCAATATGCCAAATGTATAATGATTTGAATGTCATTATCTTTCATCAATCTCAATAATTAAAGTTTTCCGCATACGGAAACGAATTTTAATTAATGATAGTCAAGCAAATAACGTTATGAAATTTACATTAATAAATTTTTTTATTAACAGTCAATTAAGTTCACAGATATTTAGTTAATATGCTAACATCTTGTCAAACCGGTTAATTCTTATTCTCTTGTTTCTGTTCATTCGAGTTCATGTTACCTATTTTATATTATAACAGTTATAATTTTCTGAAAACAAGAGTGTGTAGACAAAAAATCTGCTCAAATTATCGAATTTATTTGATTATCCAGGAACACAAAATTGACATAATTGGTTTTTTCTGTCTCTAAATTATGGAGTCAGATCCTCAGTCGGCAACTTTTCTGCTTTCATAATCGTTCCATATGATGCCTGAGAAACATTTGTAACGTTGTTTCTTTCCGTATTTCTACAGCATGAAAACTGCATCTTTTGCATAATGCACAGCAGCCAGGTTTGGCCAGAAGACATGCAGGCCACGTATGTCTGCTGGCTAGATCTTGCAGCTGCGCATTACTCAAAAGGTGCAGTTCTGTGTGGTGTTTCTTAAGAATGAGGTTAATCTTTTCTTAATTAATACACTCCTTTATGTACTGTACACATCTTTGTTGATGCAGAGGCAAAAGGGTGCTACGGATGTTTTGTTTGAACTGATTGCTATCCAAGCCAACACTTTGAAGAAATTTTGCATAGTGTTTAAATTTAACTATGGATTAACTTCAATCTCAATCTCATCCAGTACGTGTTGTTCCTAGCTAGTCACTTCCATTATATGACTCATCGTCCGTAACAACGTGTAGCATAGTTGCAGTTTCAGTTGATTTTTTGTATACGAGTATTTTGGAGATGACTTTCATTTTCATAACAACATTTTGTTTGAATAAAATGTTTTTAACGTAGCGATGAGATGTTTTGGACGTTCTTTTAAGTTTTCTTAGCGATTGTCCAACTTTCCGATCACTTTTTTTTCCAAAGACACCCTTTTGCTATCTATCATTTCAATTCTGTTTCGCCCACTCCTTGGACATCTAGCAAGTAAGTATTTTCCAGCCTTTCTATGATGCTATTAAATGCCCTTCTTGCTATCCCCATATCCATAAATTGCTAAAATCTGAAGTTGTGCCCTTTTTTCTCATTATGTTTGTAAAATTCGTCAAATACAATTCTTCTTTGCTCTTCATTAAGCTGTTCTGTTTTGTTTACATTTGAAATATTGTTGTGACGATAAAGAGAATTTATATCTACGAAGTCCGAGAAACAATCTACGCTAAGACATTCTCAAATTTATTTTTAAAAAGATACCAAATATGCCTGTCAAAATTGTGAAAACTTTTTAGTTTATACGTTTATAAATTACAGTTGACCCCCTATAACACTGTTGATTATTCCGTTTTATATGAATTCCATGTTGTACGAGTCACTTACATTTTACAAATATGTGAGCCGTTCACAGCCCGGCACACGTAAGCCTATTTGTAAAATCTAAGTGACTCTATAACATGGAATTCATATAAAACAGAATTATCAACAGTGTTATATGAGAGTCGACTGTATTGTTACAACATTTAATGTTTGAAATTTTAAAAATATATTAATTTACTGTTGAAAAACTTTATTCTGTTGAGTAATTTTCTAGTTTAACGCTATTTTCAAATTAAAAAAAATAATAATAATAGGAAAACACCCAACAGGTGTATAAAGTAAATACAAAATTTCAATTGTGGCACTTTTAATTTCCAAGACAAACAGACTGACAAAGCGAATTTAATCTTTTTTTCTTTTCTTTTCAAACATTAAAGATAAATTAAATTATTTTTAAAATCTATATCATCTATTTAACGTAGTTTATAGTTGGTTTTCGTGCTAAACTGATAATGAACTACTTGAATATAATTTCTATAACAATGAAGGGGAATAACAATTTTAATCACAGCTAAAGACTTTAATTTACTAATATTAATATAAATTCGATTTGAAATGAATGATTTAAAATTGTAAATGGGTATCAAATCATCAAAATAAGGTAGGCAGCAAGGCAATCTTTTGCCAAGTTTTAATAGAGTAACTTTATTCATTATATTATAAAGTCGAACCCCCCTATAACACTGATGATTATTCCGTTTTATATGAATTCCATGTTGTACGAGTCACTTCGATTTTACAAATACATGAGCTGTTCACAGCCCGGCACACGTATTTTTAAAATCTAAGTGACTCGTACAACATGGAATTCGTATAAAACGGAATAATCAACAGTGTTATAGGGGGTCGACTGTATTCAATAATAATAATACAATATAGGTTTAATTCCAAATATTACTTTCCCGGTCTGTTATATATAACAGAGGGAAAGTATGGTGATCGATCGAAAAATGACCCACCAAGATTCTTACATTATTGAACTCAGGACACCTTGAAACAAAGAGAAATGCAAAAAATTTCGAGTATTTTTCTGTATGTATTGATGTCAGTATATGGGACACGATTTTGTTCACCCTGTTTGAAGTTTAATAACTCCTGTGCTTTCTGTCGAAAATATCTGAAATTTTGTAGAGAGGTTTGTGTGTACGGAAAATTGATGCTATTAAATTTTGGTGGTTAAAGGTCGAGGAGGGTCGATAAACGGGGTCGTGTGTATCTCCAATAGAGTCAGAGTTAATGACGATTTTACTCGTTGTTAGCATTTACAATTTTTTACAATTTTTTACAAAGCCACCCATACCCTCAAAATTAAGCTTTTTGCCATTTTATAATAGTTAAAAATATAAAAAGATTTTTAATAAAATATAACAGGTGGTTTCACACGCAGTTTTAAATGTTTCCGGGAAAGATGAGCGCTTCGTTGCTGGATTTTTTAGCGTAGAGGTTAATAGAGGTAGTCTCATCAAATCAAAGGAAACAAATAAATAATTATCAATACAATTTATCGTCTAGTAAAATTCATGTAAAATCATTGACTTATTTGCTATAAAACCCTATAATTTTCGTAATACGCCTATAGCATATTTCACTTTTAACTATATATAGCAAAACTGTTTAAATTAAAGGCCTACTCATTTTGACAAAGAATGTATAACGCCTTCTTTCAAATAACTCCCTCTTTCTGCCAAGAAATTACATCATTGATATAACGATAAATGTTTCTCTTCTATCATATACAGTATTATAGTAAAATATTAAAGTATGAGATATATTAATAAAATTAAAGTGAATAACCTCTTAGCAACTTACAATTAAATAAAGCTAATTTTTATTTCTCATGTTCATTATTAGGCTAAACTATTACTCTTAATTTTCATTTTACTTATATTTATCAATTTTAAAGTAATAAGATTTATCAATAAATATTAGAAACAAAATTAATTTAACTTCTAGATCAAGGCAAGCATTAGAGGAAATAAAAGGATGAAATAAAGATCGATTTTGCCTCCCGGGACGACTTTCTACACGAAATTGAGCCCTATTTATATGATAGACACGTAAAGAAACTCCCGAAAACTTTACGTGACCGGGTTGGTGGGATATTACTTTAAAATTATTTTAATAATTTCAAAATTAGTGGCTGAGTGAGGTAAGAACTGTCCACCAACTACTCTAGTCGTTGCTGGCGGGTTCTTACCTCACTACCACTGCTTCAAAGAAAGCTCAAGACTACCTTAGTGTATTTTTGGTGTTCGCTCCGAAAATTATGTGAAAATATACAATATGATCTTTACTTTAATAAAGACTTCTTTTATTTAAAAATTAAAAAATATATACTTATTTAAATTGATTAAAATTTTCTTCCAGAATATTGAGTTTGATAAGAAATAATAATAAATAAATTAAACTAAAAAGTTTCTACACAAAATGCTGATAAAACTACTAAACACGAGATACTTAAATTACTATACAATTATTATTAGTAATTACAATATGTTTATTAAAAACATTTCAATAAACGAACAATTGAATTTTCTTACTTTATAAACAGCAGTCAAAACATATTGTTGTGGAAGTTCACATGCTTGTCCATAAGTTTCTAGATAAGTATTCTGTAAATAAAAGAAAATTAATAATATAATAATAATATAAACACACAAACACGCAGAGAGAGAGTGAGACATACACAGGGACACGTTCACAGAAACACACAAATATTATTCATCAATACATTTTAAAAAAGAAGAAAAATATATTTCATGTGAATATTTTCGAATTTTCTTACGAATATTCTCACCAGCATCATTTTATGAGAAAATTTATTTTTACAGAAAATATTAAACTTATCACTAAAATATAAATTGATGGTAGTATGAAATATCACTTGTAAAGTGTAGAAAACTCAGTGATTATTTATGTTAAACACTTTTTCTACCTCAATTAATCTTATACTTTCTTAATTTTTAACTGTAGGCTTGTCGCTAATCAATTTATTAAAGACATGCCACAATTTTCTCTTAGTAATATAATTTTCTACGCTTTCTAAATAGCAACAAATCTTGTTTTGACACATTCATTCTCTTTGGGAAAGAATTTTAGGGAAATGCCTTTAAAGCAATAAATAATTACGTTATCGATCATTTCTGTAGCCAATTTTTTTCTCTGTTCTAAATTCATTCTCTTTTCTATTTAATTAATTTATTTACTGTATTAATTTTTAATCTTTCAACACGTCTTTAAGGCAGTATTAGTCAACGACTTTCTATTTATTTGTTTTAAATTTTTCTTACTCTAATCCTTAAACTTATTTTTTTGCACATCTCAATTAATTTGATGTTATTGAAAACATTAATTAAGTCATTAGTATTAGATTTCATGCGAACACAATTACTTCACTGCATTGTTCTATATCAAGTTACAGTTCTGTAAGTTATGCATTAACTTAAACACTTACAAAAAATTTTGTTTAGAAGGAAGAACGTTGCAGGAAATATTTAATAACCAATTTGAAAAATATATCTAATATTGTTTACAAGGTTTTTTTATTTTGATAATTTTTGTAAGAGAAGTTTAAAGATTTGAAGTTTAGAGTTTAAGCATAGAAAAGATTTTGATGAAAGGAAATTTACATAACAGAAAGGTCTTGGGAAAAATTAATAATGTCCTTCAAGGCAAGTTGCCGTATATAAATAAAGCCAAACCACAACAATGAAAGTTACAAAAAACGTGGCCCACCAGTGGCCAAGCGGTTCCATTCTCTGAACACTGGGAGTTCGGTCGTGGGTTCGCGCCTCGCTCGGAAGGGCTGGCACGTGGAGGTTTCTGGGTTTTCTCCACGTTTAACACCTGAATAATCGTTTAAGGGTAACTGGCTTTTTAAGGGACCAGTTACCCTTAGAAGACCTCCCGGGAGGGATTCTCCAGCGCGTAACAGCCATCCTAACAAACGTAATCAACTATTAACACTAGCCAATGAAATTACACATTCCACGAGACGAATATAGCCAGAGAAGCAGATTTACTACAAAAATACAAAAGACTGTAATTCGAAATTATTATAATTTCAATAGAAAATCCAACAAAACAACATTAATTAACGAAAATTCTTTTGACGATGTTTCGACACCGGCTTATTCAGTTCCATGGAGAGACAAGAGCTAGATAAAACCTCCGAGCCCTTCTGCTCCATTCCAACGATCTAAACAGACCCTCAAATCATTTTATTTGGGAAGATTTTCCATATTTCCTCCTCCAAACATTACAATGATGCGTTCTTGAAAAAAAAACAAATTTATTTAAAAAAAAGGACTCTCGGGTCCCCTATAATAGTTCCATCCCCGTTGCCACAGCAACATCTTCCTCCCTCTTCTCGTCAGTGCTGTACACATTACACAAACAGATATTTGTTTGCACACATTTGATCACCATTGATTTTATAGCGTGTCAAATTTCTATTTGACAGTATTTTGAACGTCAGGGTATTGATTTGTTTGGATTTTAATCGGATCCAGAGAAGCATCCCGTGCTGATCACCCCTATTATATGTGGCCGCTTCCAAATTGGGGTGATTTAAATCCCGAAACTTTCGTATGCAAGGTAGAACTTCTTTTGAAAATAGTAAGTTATCCTTTGTTACGCGCATACAGTAAAACTGTAAACAACGGACACTACGAGAACATAAAAATTGACCACTATTTGCAGTTGGTCGTTATTGAAGGTTCGACTGTATTACAAAATATAGAAAACTAACAACAGAGTTTAGCACGTAGTACCAACAGTAGCTTAATTACCTTTTCAAAAGCATTATGTAAGCTAATCACTGTTACTTATACACTTGGAAATTGCCTTAGAAACTAAAAAAAGTATATACGTTTTTCTTTAATTGCTGTTAATTAAATTAATATGCCGGCATCAAAAGTATCGCATGTCACTCGACTATTCATTCATATGAATAGTAACTTACTAATGAAAACACTATAAAAATAAACATGGACTACTTATAAAATGACAATTTAATTTAATAATGAGAAAATTCTATAAAGACAAATCTATAAGTCGTAACATTACAACTGCTACGTTACGAAGAATGTGACCATGTTTAAAGTATTTTATTATAATTATATTTCGTAATAATGTGTTTCATAAACTGAATTGTTGAAGAAAATATCTAATATCTAGAATAGTGGGGCTTTTCTTAAGGATTTTCTTAAGAGAGTTTGATTATTATGTAATTAACACTGAGCATTAACGCAGCATGCAGTATCGTCGTATGCTGACCAAAAATATTCCTTGAAAACAAGAAATGTTCCTTTTTTTTGGTCAACATACGACGATGCTGCATGGGACAATGGACAAAGATCGTCAATTAGTTACTTTTACTTTTACAGAATAGGCTATACACTGAGCATAAGTCATGAATTTTTTTATTGTCGTTGACAATGGAATTTGAGGCCCCTTGGGGATTAGGAAAAGTGCAACATAGGCGTGTCCTGAGTACCCTAATGTACCGTACGGCCGCCCCTAATTCGCGGCTCACTCAATTAGCGAAAATGATTTTCGTACAACAATCAGAATCGATTAATTTTAATCGTTTTACTTTATTGTTATCTAGAGCAGTGACGCAGTGACGTAACCAGAAAGGCCCCAAGAGGTAGGCCTCTTACTTTTGTAAATAAATAAATTTAGAAAAAAGATTTGAAGTAAAAGCGCAATTATATACGTATACTGTTTATGTATACAATAAATATCTGAGTTTAATCTTCATCCTCAGCGTAACGTCCCATTCACAATGGTTCAGAGATGAATATAAGTTTTCACGTTCTAATTCGGCTCCCCAATATCATTCTAATTACACTACTATTCTATAGTTGTACTATACGAGTTAGTAATATATTTCAAGTTATTAAAATTAGTTTCATTATAATAAATAAATATAATTTTTAAGTTAATTAACTTCATAACGTAATTAACGCAATAAACGCCAGAGATCCGAGATCGAATCCAAGTGGGCAATTCCCAGAAATTTTACTGGGATGTCTGTCCCGATTACTTTACAGTACGTTGGAAGGGCCGACGAGAGGTGGTTTATAGCTTTCTGGGGTCCAAGCAAATTTGAATAAGAGGCCCCATGTACAGTGTTGACTTCAGACATTTTTCTTTAAGGGAATTTTTTGAGAGAAGTATTTTCTTATAAAAGATTGGTTTGGAGCTCCTGTTGGTGGGGACTCTCACAGGATAACGCGCAATTGGGTAAAATTTCCGGACCCGGAATTCACAAGGGCCCACAGACATCATGCCCCAACCTTATAACTTTAAACAAATATTATATTTAGGTACATGGGGCCCATGTAAATTTTTCTCCCGGGGCCCGCCGGCGACGTCTCTCGACGCCCCTGTAGGGTCCAGTAATTCACTAACTGGCTGCCCTCGCGATGGATATTGAAAAAAGACCTTTTTTTAGTGNTTGGTGGGGACTCCCACAGGATAACGCGCAATTGAGTAAAATTCCCGGACCCGGAATTCACAAGAGCCCACAGACATCATGCCCCAACCTTATAACTTTAAACAAATATTATATTTAGGTACATTGGGCCCATGTAAATTTTTCTCCTGGGGTCCGCCGGCGACGTCTCTCGACGCCCCTGTAGGGTCCAGTAATTCACTAACTGGCTGCCCTCACGATGGATATTGAAAAAAGGCCTTTTTTTAGTGTCCATAGAAAGAAAATAAAAAATAAAAAAATAACATAAGTTTTGATAATATTTCTTTTATGATTTCAAGAGGAATGTATTTTTAGAGTAAGCAAATGTCATATTCATTCATTAAAGCAAACTTGTTTGTTCTTATAATCAATTTTCTAAAAATTTGCAGTAAATATTTGTTTAATAATTTCCTGCAATTCACACTCATTCGATTTTCTTTTATTTGTAAAGGAAGATTGAAATCAAAGAAGTTATTTAAAACTTAGAAACGTTTCTCAGGTAACTTTCTTGTTTTTAAATGATAAAATTTCCGACGGTAAAATTAGAAAATGCAGCTTAAATTCAATGCAATAATGCAGTTTTGCTTATTTCTTTATCCGAAACTATAGTTTTATTCAGCAAGATGTGGAACATCTTTTATTTCTTCACTCACATACAAATTTAGTTCGTATAAAGATCACTTATATTGTACAGGGTGGCCTAAAAGTCAGTTAACCGTGTTTTGTAATGTGTGTTTAAGGTACTGTACATAGTAGTTACATGTCAGAGACAGTACACATGAATCGTAGATTGTATTTGTTAAACTAGACACTAAACAATTTTTGTAAATTTTCAAAGTAAAAACGTATTTGAATAAGGAAGGAATTAAGTCGTTACAACGGTTAATTGACTTTTGGACCACCCTGTAAGCCTATATTATGCATTATATTTACTTGTTAGTCAAATATTAATAGCTTTATATTATATGGAGAATAGACAATGCAATTAAAAAAATTCGTGATAATAAGCTTTAAATATTATATTTTTTCTGCTTAATTTTAATAATACATTGCCCGAATTATACCCATAATGACAAATATTGAAAGTGATAGGATGAGTTACGCATCTAACTAAGGAATTTAAAACTGTTTTAATAATTAAGCGTTTAATAAAAATAATTTATATCCTACCATTCGAGCTAATCTAAAATAATGGTACCTCTATTGCAGTCAAATCCATTGAGAGAAGCAATTTGAGAGAACTGTCATAATAAATTTTATACAACAAACAGTTAGGTTATTGGTAACGAAATCGTCTCTCGTGTTTTTCAGATTATGAAAAAGAAAAAATTTATAGTCTACACATAAAAAAAGACCGATTTACATAAATACTTTCTCATATATTTTTATAGAATATTATTATTAGTTTTAAAAGGTTTCAAGAGAACATTTGTTAGCTGCTCTAGGGCCTCTCGCGACCCGAAATCGCTAGAGTTTCGATTTCAGATATCTGTATCGATTTCAGGTCCTGAAAGGCCCTGGAACAGCTTGAAACTTGCTATGCCCCCCTTATATAAGTTTATATAATGTATGACCTGTCTTATACGATATTGTACAAGGTTTAGTGTTGAATTTTGAGTACTAGACCAAAACCAAACAAAAGCATATATCCGAGGCCCTAAATAAAAGCTTAGGTTTCCTATGCCAAAAATTACAAATTTTAATTATGTAGTCTCATAAATTAATAAAATTGGGCCTACTACATGCTACTAGCATGCATTTTTTTTTGAAATTATATTAAGATCTATATGAAACAATTGTTAATGTATATCTATAGATTAGTGTTATTGAATTTCGTTGATTGATTTATGTTTAAGTAAGTATGAAATTTCCATATTAATAATCAAATTGAAAGTAGTACAAGGACCCAAGTCGTTTAGCATTGATTAATTGCAAACGGGTGTAAGAAATTTTCATACATACATCATTAACTTTGGGCACCCAGCAAACCCACCCTCTCTCCATCTTTGAAGACATCTATATGAAATAAAATAAAATAAATAATCATAAAAATAATAAAAAAGAAAATAAAATAAAAAGGAAATAAATGATACAGTAAAATTAGGTCACAGAATTAAATAATAATAATAATGTAAACGTTTAAATGTAAATTTTATGTAAATTTTGAATTCAATGATATAGTAATTGCATTTAACTAAAGAAAGGCGGAAATTAATAATTATCTTCATTGCAACACACAGGGAAATAATTAAATACGCATAAAAATTTATAATTGAAGCAAATTAATTATAAATGTAGTAAGATATTGAATAAATGAATCTAAAAAAATCATTAAATTTTTATTAATATAATAAAGATGAAAAGATATTAAAACTGTAATTTATAAGGAATGTTAGCATATAAATAAGGAAAGTAGTTAGGGACTTCCGCTTAACTATTCCTTCCTCTTCCTCCTCCCCCTTGTTCCTGGGGCTTTCTCTTAACTATTCCCTCCTTCTCCTTCCCTACTTCCTAGGGCCTCCTCTTAACTTACTTAACTGTTAATTTTCTTTAGTAAGTATTTATATAGTTTTATAGACAGCTTAAACTTAATTAGCCATGTTAATTTACTTACAGCACTCGTTAAAGATAATCGACTCATCATCCAACTACTTCGACAATTTTTTGTAAATGTAAGTTCTTCCCATCGTATTCTCCACGACATATTAGCTAGAGCCGCTTCAAGTTTTAATTTCCTAGAAATTATAAATTCATTTTAGAAAAGTTTATTTGGATACATTTCCATGTAGAAAATTCTACCTCACCTGTAAATAATTATTCCAACGATAATGAAAATCACAAGAAAAACCACAACGGCTGCCATAATGATTTCCGAATAAGAAAATTCTGTTCAAGTAGACATTATTAAACCTTTTAGGAAAGTTAAGAGGTCAAAAACTATTCTAAAAATTTACTTTTGACTAAACATTTTGGATCTTTTCCATCGAAACCACATTCTGGTCTATCAATAGGTGGTTTCCCTCCTGGCCAATGTATCTGAGCTTCTTCATAATATTCCTTAGTAGAACCATAAAATTGTAAAACAACCTGTAAAATAATTGATTCAAACACATTTTAAACCCACTTACTTCTCTAAAATACAAGATTTATCACACAAATTACCTTAAAATCACCAGTTTTGGTGTTAGTTTGATCTAATAAAGCGTAATCAGCTATACGATCCCCTTCATCATTAATTGTAATGTTTCCTGACATACCGTGTATACCTGAATTAAAATTAAGTTATTAAGCATAAAAATGATTTTTTATGATATAATTACTCTTAAATCAAACCTTTAGCAAGCTTTTTTATTATGGAGATTAATGTTTCAGGGACTAATGCTTGCGAATCGTTTCTATGACTTTCACTTCGATTAATTGCTTGACATAATAACCAGACAGCATCGTGAAAGCTGGACGTGAAGTAATTTACCTGAATAATAATAATAGTAAATTAGATAATACGAAAGGAATAAGTGATGAATAAGATTAAGTTTCCTTACGTCTTTCTCATCATAAGTATAATTATAATATTCTAAAGCTCTTCGTTTAACTTCATTCGAAAAATCTGAATATTGTTGAGAAAGTGGTTGATTCAAGCTAACTATCATCAATGCTTCGTATGCTTTCTTAATTTTTAATTTTGTTTGATAATCTTCTACAAAAATAAAGAAAATGCTTTAATTATAAAATTAAATTAATAATATAATTCAGATCTATGAGCGCTCACAAATCTTGGGCAAAGCATGATTAATATCAACTAATCAACCAATTGGGTTATTCGAATCATGTCCCTTAAGTATATTTGCTTTTATTTATATTATCTTCATGTATACGAGAATAAATAAACATGCATAGAAATAAGAGTAAGCTCCAAAACCCTAAAATCAGTCTCCTAGGTAATACAGGGCTTTGTCGAGAATTACATGATCTTTTCCATCGATATATTACTCAGTGTATTAACTGTTAAAATAAATTTACTCTTATAAAATGCCTTTATTATATAATTTTATACAACAAAGGCATTATAGAGACATAATAAAGGCATGTAGAAAAGTAAAGAAAAGGAGAGAATTCTCCTTCTAGCCAATTCATGTCGACACTCTTGTTTAGAGTTACATCAACGTAATTCAATGTTTTATATAATGTAGAAATAAAAAAACAAATGATTATTTTAAGGTTATAGAATGACTTTCAAGTCATGTTTATAATACAAATTCAATCAATATCTAAACGTAAACAGAGAGTTCCATGGATACGGAAGTTTACAGTCACGAAAGCAGGATAAATAAATTAAACTATATAAAATTTATGTAATTACACATACCATTTCCTCCAGCCCAGGAAACATTTCCATAAGCTTCACTCTGGATCAATTCAGGGCAGATAAATGCATATTCACCACTTTCAGTCATTCCTAATTCTTGAGCAATAAGTAACATCTGTCTAACTTCTCTATCACCCCCTAAGATTACTACCACTATAAAGAAATATAAAAATAAATTTAAATTTTGTCTTAATTAACATAAAGTAAGCTTCATAAAGTTTTGAATTTAGTTAATAATATATTTATAAACGCACTTTTAAGCATAACAAAGGAGTTTTTGAGAGTTGACATATGTTTCTAAAGAACTCAAAAAATCGATATTATAATTAGCTTCTATTCAAATAACATTAAGATTTTATTTTTGTATATACCTTAGAGTTTTGTATACAATTTTATAGACTTTATAACTGCACATTCACGTGTCTTCAGAAGCTTAAATATTTACAACTATAATCGCAAGTATGCAGAAGTTTAAAGTAAAGTTATAATTAATTTTTTTTCATTCGTTTAAGCTTCTTTAACACCATATTGTGTTGTAGAATACGAAGAAGAGAACAGATTGTATCTTGTCAACCACAGACACGTTTATAGATAGCTTCGAAGGTCACGAAGCTATGTATAAACTAAGCAATACTTATCCTGTCAAACTTTATCAATTACATCAAACCACTTCTAATTTTTCGGGTAATTATTTTGTGTAAATGCTGATATATTAAATAAGCTTGTTACTTTGTTTATGTAGATATTTTAACAGACAATAAGTACAGTTCCATTCGAAGATTTCCCTCGAGACATGGAAATGTATTCACACCCAAAGGGTGTGGTTCATAACAATCAAACAGAGCATTCAACTTCTTAATCTTCTGACAAATTCCTATCTTTCAAGTCATTTAATACGTTATTCATAAAATATTTTAGTTAACTTAATTAAAAAATAATTAATTTGTTTCATAAAATTATACTTAAGACCACACACTGGCTTTTATATAGGTCTACCCTTTGACATATATCAGGTACTAAGGAAAGAATTTAAAATTTAATATCAAATCCTTGTAGTTAGACTTCCCCTTTTAGCAAATAGATTGTGTAAGGAGCCAACATCACTGTAAAAGTATATACTGTATTTATATATAAACTTCTCTTATAACCAACAGTTTTATTTGACTTAACGTTAAAGGATAAAGTTACTTTATTAGTTTCTATATCCAAAACTTAATTTTATCTTTTTAAAAAGTCAACTTCAGCGTGAACAAAATTGAATACTGCTTGCATAGTAAACATAATATTTTTAAAGTATTTTTTTAAGCAAAACTTTTTTAAAGTAAGATATAAATGCTACTCTATAATAATTCTAGAGAATTTATATAAAATCATTTAATTTCGTCGATTATTTTCTAGTTTATTTCTGTTTTTTCGATGTTTAGATGAAATCAAATTGTCAAATTTCAAGTATGTTGATAGAGTAAACTTACTTTCCAAGGATATATACTTTAATGCCAAGTACACTCTTAGAAAAGAAGGTCTTCCAGCAGTGATTTTGGCATCAATACTACCAACAGAGTGATTAATTATCACCAGTTAAAGAACTCCACCTGATTCATGATATTTACAAAGAATTCAATTCGTGATTTTTATCGTTAATTCTATATAAATCATAAATTATTTATGATGTAGAATTTCTATAATGTTATCGACTATTTTATCGTTTTTCCTACGAATTTATCTACGAATAAACAATCAAATTAAGAAGAAAAATTGCACAAATATTTAATAAAAAATTATTTTTCTCTTCGTATCTAAGGAGGTGTATAGTCTACTGAATATAAACACACTATAAAACTGGGGTCAGCAGTAAGAAGTTTAACTACAAGAGTCATAAAAACTATTGAGAATGTAATATATTTTAAATCATTAAGAGGTCAAAATAAAAAATAACAACACTTCAAGAACCTTGACCTAAGTCATTCAATAAAAAATCAACTCTGCCTTGCCTTTATTATGAGCTGGATAATTAAAGGCTTATTCAAAGTCGACTTGTATAATAAAAATAAACTAAGAGAATTAAAAAATTAATTTAAATTAAAAAAATAAATAAGTCACTTATTTAACAGTAAAAATAATTAATTATTTAAGTTAAATGTTGTATTTAAAATGATGTTTTTACGCTGGAGTGAATAAAAAATTTAATTTTTCTTATAGATTTTTATAATACTTTAGATTATTTATAGAAGAAATTTAAGAAAATTTAGATTTTTTAAGATAATTATTTTCTGTGCCATATTCGCTTTTAATTCGAATTTTTAGCTATTTATTTGGCACATCACAGATTTGTAGGCAGAATTAATTAATCAGCTGTTTCTAAGTATAAATTTATTAAGTAAGCTCCATTATTTTTATATATATAAGAAAGAGAACATGCATTTATTCTAAATACGATTAATCTAAAGGAATGAGAAGAGAATGGTTATTTATAGTTTGTCTGGAAAGCTTTTTAAAGCTCACAATACAATCTTGTTAAATAATCTTGAAAAAGTACAGATGTAAAATATAACAGTTTCAAAATTCATAAAAGGTAAGGTTAGAATTTCTTTTAAAGAATTAATTTGCACACGTATGACCTCGCCCAAACCTAAACTCCCACTTATTATCATCATAAATTGGTGCCAAGTCTATGAGTGGGAATTCTATAATAACGTTTCATATGCTTAATGGTAAATGGCAAAAAATAAATTCGATATATTCATCTTTAAACGGTACGTATTATATTCTAGAATATAATAAAAATAAACTTGAAATGAAATTTATATTTAATAGGTCACATCTATAATGTATACTCGTTGTGTAGTTATTTAATGTAATGTAATATGATTGTCAGTAGGAAATACATCGTTATAAGTTGCTAGTTTTTACTGCTAGTTTGCATGAGAGAAACGTATATTAGTTTATCCCCTTTCATAAAAAATGTGCGTGATAAAAATGCAAGGTTAAACACGAACGAAAACAACATCTGTTCGTCACCATGCTGAGATGTTTGATACACAAAAAGTTAGATAATTCATTTTAAAATTCACCTTACCTCTAGAACAAATCTTTATCTTTATCATCAAGCCTTTCAGATCTGTCAAAACTGTTCTGTTTTGTGTCCTTTCGTAAGCTTCCTCGCAAGTAACTTTCATTTTATACTTTTCTGCAAAGCCTTTTATCTGGGTTTTTAGGGAATCGTAGTAAACATCACCTTTCCTATAAATCAATCCGAATTTCATCCATTTGAAGTGGGTTAGAAATTCTAAAATAGCTCTAGCTTTATCATCCAATTCGTAGGATACTCTAATAAGTGTCTTAAATTCATTTCTCTTGCTTAGTATGTCTCCTAATCCAGTCAAAATTGGTATCTTCCTATACGAAGCGAATCGACCAACGATCTGTAGATCATCACTACAAGCTGGACCTATAAATGCAGTTATATTATACATCTTATCCATGTCTGTAGCTTTACCTATAGATTCGGTTTGAGAGCATCTGTGCTTGTAATAACCAGGAACCAAATTTAAGTTGACATCAAACTCGTTTTTACACTCCTCAGCGGCTATATCAATAGCTGGACCAATATGTTGGATATCGAATCTATACCTGAACGAGTCCGTCATCATTAACACACCCACATTGTATACCTTAGCATTGATAAGCGTAACGAGGGTCGTAAGAAGAAGTAACGTCCTACCAACCATCCTCGTGCGAACATCTATCGGCACTGAACCTCTGGCACAACTTATTCATACCGAGTTGGACTCTATTTTAGAGAAAGTAGCTGTCGTAAAATTAGAGCCAAGTCAACAGGTCACTCACATGCTGTCGTGTAGGCGACACTGTTGGCTGTATACCAATATAGCGACATCTAGGAGTATATAGTAAGTTATCATGCTCCTGTTACATTTACCTTCAGAAAACCCACCCATATCCTGAGTTATAATAGATAAATTGCAATCTATATTGTTGAGTACCTCTATAACCCGTTTATCAGCATTTTCCAAATAAACAGTGGATTGTCCTGCAAACATTTTATCCGACATGATAGCTTTTTAAGTTGAGTACTTTTCGGGATGAAGATTTATAATTGTTTAACTTATTAAATTAATTTATTTTTTTAATAAATAAATTCTAAAAATTCTAAAGTTTTTTTCCTAAGTAAAAAAAATGATATTAAAAAATTAAATAAATTGTTTAATTTGGAATAAAAATCACAGCAAGAAAATTAAATTTACTCTCATTTAATTCGTAAAAATAAATTGCAATTACACTTACTATTTTTAAACAGTAAACTTAATTCTAATTAGTGTTTATAAAACATAACCCCGTTGTAATTTCTTATTTAAAGAGCCTTTTAATTGCGTTTGTAACGTAATTAAAGAGCCTTTTAAACTCATCTGTAACGCAATTAGAGCTTTAAAACACTTATCTACCTATTAATTGGTTCCATTATTTCTACTGTTTCTACTCGAATTAATTCGAACAAACGGTGTTTATTGACTCCAAAAGAGCACTATTTCTAGATATACTCCCAGTTTCGCCTCGTTAATAACGCCGTTATACGATATCGCTAGGATATTTATTGTAACAGCAGCATCCACTGTACAAACCGGGCTGCCATTGCTAGTATTATTTAATACGTTTTTTTGACTAATTTATACCATTCTTGAATTAATTTATGATAAATCTATGAGTGAAATTTGATAATGAATACAAGAACGGGAAGTCATTTTTGTTGTAGCATCAGGGTGCTTACATCTTAATAAATCTTAAGTGGGTGATTGCGAAAGAGTATTTCTTCCAGTAATATTCGCCTTCCGAATTAAGAAATTACACGAAATTTTCTGTTAAATTAAGCAAGAATTTTTTGGTTTTTATATTATAAGATGCTACTTGAGAAACTTTTCATTTTTTTGTGCATAAGTGAAACTTCAGAAAGACAAAATTGTTCATAATTTATAAATCTAAGCACACAATTGTTGATTTTCTGTATTAACGAAGCTTTAGAAAAGTAAAAATTCTTTTAAAATTATAAATTTAAGTACACAATTTAGGTTTTTATTCGGAAAAAAAGTAAAAAAATCTAAGAAATTTATAAATCTAAACATAAATTGTTTTTCTGCAAAAATAAAGCTTAAAAAATAAAAATATCTGAAAACAATTATAAATTTAAGCACAGAATTTGTATTTTCCTGCATTAAGCCTTAAAAAAGCCAAAAATTAAAAATAATTTTAAATTTAAGCACAAAACTTATATGTTTTAGCATAAAGGAAGCCTTAAAAAATCCAAAATCGAAAAATATTATAAATCTAAATACGCAATTTTATTTAAAAAATGAAATTAAACATTAATTTTGGAAGATATCCAAAATTAGTACCTATTCTCTGAAGTTAAATCTTTGTTTTTGGAATTACAAATAAATCTCTCAGGATATAATTCTTCTTAAAAGAGTGATAACATTTTATTTTAAGCATCCCATAGAAAATAGCTTTGTTGTCAGATGAAAGTACACGGTAAAAGGTTCAAAGTTAAGCATTAAAAAATAAAAATAATAATAATAAAAAAGTAGGAGGCATTTGACAACTGTGTGACTTTCATCATCCTTAATTTACTATAACAACTCCGCCGAAGAAAGATTAAATATGACTGAAAACATCTAAATATATCTTAACTTTGTCAGAAAATCCTAATTTAGAATTTAGCTTACTATATCAAGTTGAGAATTTTATTTTATTTTACTTAATTTATCAACTATTTACAGAGAAATCTTCATTTTTAAATAAGTAAAATTAAGATTTTTACTGCATTAATTTAGGTTATTTACTACAAATTTAAAAAATAATAATAATAATAATA